AAGTGGTGCCACCGTCTTCCTCTGACTTCTTATCTGGCTCACAGTCTTTAGAGATGGGCTAAAATGAGTGGGTCATCTATCACAACAGAGGGGAGAGTGGTAAATTTATAGCTGTGAAAATGGGTCATAGCACTGCACTGATGGAATAGATAGAGTGTAATTAGGACAAGGTTAGCCTGCTTTATACATACACACATGTGCACACGTACACATATAAAGTACACTGTTTATTTTTATTGATATGGAAATAAAATATCACATGTATATGTGAGTGTTCCCACCTGATAATTGTTACTTAAGAGGTATTTAGTTACTTGGAATGCCTCTATAACTTAAATAAAAGCTTAAAAATGTCAGGTCTTTCAAGTAGACATTGACATTTATCTCCCAAATGCAATTACCTCACATGTTCGCCTCTTTTTTGAGGAACACCTGCCGATGTTACCAAAAAATGCTATCCTCCTCTAGCATGACTTAGCTTATCAATCACTTCGAATTGACCTTTGATTTCTTTTTTTCATTTCCGATGCTGCTTTTGCCCTGTGACATTACATCGCTGGCAGAAATGAGCAAATACAATTTCTGCCTTTCTATTATTTGTTCTACTCGTTCATCCTCCCCGGCGTACAGTTTACAACACATTTTCTCTTTTTCACACCTTCTTATTCCTTTGAGATTGCTTTCATTTCCAATGCCGTCGGAAACCCACACCTTTCTCGCCGCAGTTTTTTCCGCACTTCCTCCCGTCCCATCCTCCTCACCTCGGTCTGTACGCGTTCATCTGTCATCACATGCTGCCCTCTCTCACACACACACATGTAGAGCTTCCCCCTGTCTTCTGGGGCAGTGCTGTAAGCCTATGGAGCAGATGGGCTCCGGACTGGCTGACTGAGCCGCGCTCTAACAAACTGCCTCTCTGTACGTCGATGCTCAGATGAGGCAATGATGTCCTTTGCTCAGTCTCTCATCTAAATCTGGCCACCCGCAGACGTGCCAATATAGAAAACTGGCAACTGGGTGAAAAATCTGGCAACTCAAAGATAACAATAGAGACGGCACAGAGGCCTCTCACAGAAAATCTAGGGATCTGTTTTAATATTTACAGGATGGTTGGATATCTGAATAAAACACTGGGGATAATAAATCTCTCCTCATCTGGAATCAAGGAAATAATTTGTAATTGGAAATATTTTGTGCGTGGAAATTTTGGATGTTCTCTGCAGAGGTTTGTTTTATTTTTTACGTCAAATCTAGTTTTAAATCAATTTGAAATGTTCTGGAATTTTATGTGAATGAATTGTACATGGACTGTTTCTATTACAAAGAGATATGCCGCAAACATGCAAAAATCCAAGCTAAAAAGTTGTATCTACCCAGTATAACATTATAAAAAACAGAAACATACTGAATAATGCCTGTGGCACTTGTGTTTATTATTTTTTAGCCAATTCTTTCTTTACATCAATGCTGACTTGCTGAATTAGTCTAATAATTATTAATATCAATATTTCATATAACTAAATTAAAAAGTAACTGTGCCTAAAGGAATATTGCCCAACTGTGGGTGTGTCGCCCTCTTATGGTTACTCGTGGAAACTGCCTGCAGCTCACACGTTCTGACTGAGAGATTGAGTAAGGTCAGGAATTGGACACAATGCCAAACACCTCTTTTTCCACAGGAGGAGCAGATGGGTGCACCCCGGCGCACAAGGCGGGGAGATGCTATCACCAGACGCTCCAAGCAGGGTGTAAAAACAGACACTAATGCACACAATTATTCACACACTTAATAGTTCTCGTGTGCATAGATTTTTTAAACAACAACAAGCATGCTCTTGTTTTTTTTAATTTGTGGTGCACCACTTTGATTAAAAACCTGATCCAATCTCTTTGAGTTTGCACGCTCACATTGCAGTCACTCAGATTCTGCAGATTCAGATATGCGTTAATAGGTTTTGACATCAGTGGTTACATGTGAGGCATGAAAGCACATCAGCTGCCAGGTTTTTCTTAATGAGTATCATATTGAAATATAAGGACCCCTCGGCATTCTGAATCATCCCGGTGGACTCCATATACCGGATTGCCCAATTTTTGTTATTGAGAGCCAACAATTGGATCAAAACATGTCGACGCACCTGCCGTCTGTCTGCTGGGCTCATTATACATTTCTGCAGTTCTTTTATCTGGCGGGGTAAAAAATGTCCTCCTGACGATCCTCTTTTTGCTAAACCTGCTGCTGTATCACATGTAGAGATAAAAATATCACATGAACTTTGTGGGACAAACACTAATCTGCTTACTTTTTGATTGGTTTGCTACTTTATTTCACATATAGTATTTGTGGACAAAGTTGCATGTTTCCCCAGAAACACAGCCTAATCTTTTTATCATGGCTAAAGACTAACTCCACCTGGACCTTATAAGTGTTTTTGCTTTTGTTAGAAATTGTTAGCAGTTTTGAATTCCTTCCGTGAAAACCTCTTATCTATCCTCACTTCACTAACTTCACTTGAATATTTCACTTCTCTGATTTTATGGGCAATCTGCAGTCAAACAGAAATATTAAACATTGTAAACAACTTTTGACCGGCTGTCAGTTCTGCTTGTCAGGCGTGCCGGTCTCCACCAAAGCCATCACTGTCATTTAGCGCTTTAGTGGTTGACACATTGAGGGTGCCATGCCAAGCTTAGCTGAGTGGCATGTCACATCGGGATATGAAGCAGTTAGTTAATGTTGTGTAAAAGGATTTAGAGGATTTGACCCTATCGGCAGAGATGGCATTCAGAGAGGCTATGTTAATGACACTAAATGAGTCTTTGCTTGCAGCATGCTAATAATTGTGTAATAAAAGCTGCTTTATGAATAATATAGAGATATTTTTGTATATTTCTTAGAATTGCAAGTATGAATAGTGAGTGTTTTTATCTTTTCTGTAAATCAGAGAGGACACATAAGTCTCTATGCTCTATAATTCTTCAGAATTTGTCTGAATGAAGTCTGAAAATCTTCAGTCAGCTGCTTTATGTTCACTCCTCATTCATCAGATAAGGAACAAGTATGCTATTGGGCTGCTGACTGATTTCCATCTGATTTTTAAGTCTTTACTGGATTGAGTAATGCTGTTCACCCTGCGCACACTTAAAGTTTCTGTTATGCATTACAACACAATCTGGTTTGTGAGTATATTGTGTTAATTAAAATGGGTAGGCAATGGATAGTATCTAGTTCTTTTCACATACCCACAGAAAGGGTGTCAAGTATTATTCTTCAATAAATTATTGTTACCAGTCCTAATTACTTTTCTTGTACAAGTTAGGATTATTATTTGTAGAATTGTTTTTCCCAGGCTGGTTTGAAATCTGCAAATGCAATGTACCTCATTTGTGCATTCATATTGATGATCAACCAATATATTTTTCAAAATTTTAGTAAAGAAATGTTGAGTTTGCTGAGATTTTTTTTTCATATTGGTGACATATAGACTCCAATAAAAGGAACATTAATCAGAGTTTTCAGATGAAAATGTATTTCATATAACTTATAGGTATTATTGTCAAGACAAAAGCACGAAAACCAAACCACCAACCATTCAATTGACAGACAACTACTTTTCCTCCGGAGCTATCAGAGAAACAGTGCTAACTTAATGCGCTACCAATTAACATAAACAAAGTGACCTTCCTGCTAATACACACCAAGAGCAGTGTACAGTGTAGTTTATGAGGTAAAAAAACATGAAGTCCACATTCAGACAAACTCAGCTATATATAAGTAATACTTAACAGTGACTTTTTAAGAAATATTTTACAGTGGAGAAACATTTTTATGAACTAAGATTACATTCATAAGTGGAACTTAGATGTTGGAGCGTGATAATAATTTCAAAAAGAAAAAAGTGCATTGGAAACTATAAAATGTAGTTTGCAGAAAGAAAACAATTCAATACAATACCTTCATTTTCAATTCCAGACTTTGTTCATTCTGGTAATTTTCATATTTATTTATAAACTTCAATTTAAGAAAAAGATTTCTGTTGGAAGTGATTTTCGGGAACACAGGCAAAATAGCCATTGCATTAATCCCAAAAGAACCTTTCACTTTTTCTTAACCCTTGCATAAGGTCCTTCAACTATCATTTGTCATGTACTATGAAGAGAGGGGCTGTTCTATCTGCATGGGCGACAGAGTCCTGGCTCAGCTTGATCTAGAAGACAGGGACAGTTATGCGCCAACTCCTGCCACCTACCACCCTCTGGTCAAATCCCCCTTACTGACTTCACCATGACGGTCAGTCCACCATGTCCGGCTCAACATGCACAGAAAGGACAAGGACTTGATCACTAATGCCTGGGATCCCCACTGGAAGAGGAGAGAAGATAAATAAGGAACATCGGCTGATTTAGAAATAGAGCTACAGGGAGAAAGAAAACCCATAGATTGACTGTTACAAATAATATTTCAGCTTTTGTAAGTCTATCATCTTTAGTTTGTATAATTGGAAACCTCAAAATTTAATCTCCTCAAGACTGTTAGTTCATTGGTTCATATGAATTGAAATATAGTGATTTGTCTCATTTTCTCCTGACGTTTTTCTGGAGTGTTTAGACAGAAAAAAGAAGATGGTTGTTCTGCGGCTGCTGCTTTGTACCACATAAATATGGAGGAGCATCTATCAGCAATTGTTCTCTTACCCATTATGTATTCACTGACCCACAAGCCACAGCTTGTCCTTGTTCCAACATGTTGTTTTTCATCCATTTCCAACATTTTAACCCAGATGTTTGCTGTGGGAGGCAGTGGAAATATCGCTCTTTCACAGCACTGTAGATGCCTTACAGCCCTACAGCTTCTGTGTGTTATAATCTGGTTTAGCAGATAAGTCAGCTTGTTTGTGTAGCCGAACAGATATGCCTATTAAGTTTAAATGTGCTTTAATGTGCTCGGCGCTTATATAACTAACTACGTTGTGCTTTATTGTCTTGTCTGTTTTTCTTTTCTAGGAATCCACTATAAGGCAACTTGTCATCTCCACTAGGCTTGGAGGTCTTCTAGAGGGTTTGACCTCCTTGCCATCATGAAAGGATTGGGGACTAACCGCAACAGACACCTGTCTGACTCCTGTGACCCTTCCACAGGCCATTCAGAAGCCCTCTACCCTCAGAAGACCAGCACGCTGCCACGCAGCCCTTACCTGCTCAGTCCCACAATGGAACACTATGGCTCAATGGATCCCCACCTCTACCCTCAAGCCCATCCAGGCTCCCTTCCTGCAGACTGCATGTTGTCCCTCAACAACCAGCTTTCCAACAGCAGTACCTTTCCTGGTATTCATTACAATTCATATGACCAATCTGACTTCTCTCCTCCTGGGGACAGCATTGGGGGCATAAGCACAGGAACCATGGGGACATCTATGTCCATGGGCATGGCAACAGGCTTGGGTATGTCGGGACTAAGTGGAAGAACACAGATGATTACAAGTGGTTCAGCTACTATATCACATCATATGACGAAGAATCAAGCAGCACCTAGTTTACTGGACTTTGACAAGCAACTTCCCGGAGGCCATGATGGATTCAGCACTTTGCAGTTTCATCGAACGTCTGCCATCGCTGCTGCCAAGCAGAGGACAGACAGTCCCGGCCGTATTCGCTATATGCTGCACTCTGTGCAGAAGCTCTTTGCAAAGTCCCAGTCGCTGGAGAGCCACAACATGAAAGGAAATGTCAATGGACGCTCGACTGGCAGTGGTGGAGGCTCATCTGGCACTGAAGATGGAGGGAAGCATAATCGCAGAGCCAAAAGTAAAGATCGCAGTACCAAATCTGAGGCAACTGCTAAGCGACGACCAAGATCCAACATGTCAGGGTATTGGAGTTCAGACGATTTGGATAGCAGTGATTTGAGCAGCTACCATAATACCTTGGCAATGATGACACTGGGACGTCCAACTGGCCATGATACCCAGGGTGGTCAGGGCAAATACATCCAAAGCGGCTACAACACTATTAGTACATCTAAAAGCAGCAATGATATGAAATATCAAGCACTTCCTGCCCCTGGGGGTGGAGGAGGCAGTGCCCTAAGTGGACCTGGGAGTATGTTCATGAATGATAGTGACTATATGAAAGGGGGGTCTTGGTCAACACTGACTATGGGTCAGCCAAGACACGTGATTCAAAAGGGTTCAGCTACTCTGGACAGGTCAATGCTCAAGTCCAAGTCATGCCAACAAGAACTGACCTGCAACTACTTGCAGGTTGGACGAAGGGTTAGTATTTCTCATAAGTGTTTTTTCAACATTTTAAAAGAAAATAAGACCTTATTGCAATATACAACAGAATTGATGATGAATTTAATTATGCCTTTAGGGTGATTGGAGCAGCACATTAGGCCGCAGTGGGGGTCCCAATGAAATTCCATGTCGGCGGATGCGCAGTGGCAGCTATGTGAAGGCCATGGGAGACATGGAAGACAGTGACGACTCTGACGGAAGCCCCAAACCCTCTCCTAAAAGTGCTGCTCGCCGCCAGAGCTACCTCAGGGCCACCCAGCAGTCTCTGAGTGATCAGCTACCACCACGCAAGTAAGAAAATGCCGACAGGCACAGAGCAGGGCTCAAGTGCTCCCAGAATTATGGGCTGATACTTGGGAAAAATGCTAAAATTATATATAACTAAGGGAGTTCTTAATTCAGTTGCATATGATTGTTTAAATTTGTAAGAGTAAGTACTAACGGGTCTTGATCTTCTGTCATGCTTTTTTTAACATTTGAGGTCTCTGGTCCGTTGAATTTATTTAAAAGAGAAAGTGGTTAGACCCTGAAAATGTGTGGAAAATGTCAATGTTGATCTTTGGGGAAACACCCAGGCGATCATAACAGCACATATTTATAAATGCTGATGGACAAAACCTCTCCAGAATCAAAGGAAAAGAAATCAGCCAACAGCTCTCTCTGCTACAGGAAGGAAACCATCACACCCAGCCTCACCATGCCAGTGTGCAAGAAAATACAAGAACACACAAGTACACACAATGCACGCTGGGCTAACTCATGCACAGAAGAGGTGTCAGACTCCCCATTGTTATCCACATGCTCGAGTTATTACCATACCAAGCTAAGATAAGATAGGCAACTGGAGTGCAGTTTCTAAATCAGCCTCATCCCTCATTCTGACTGTGTAGGCGATGCAGGGACAGGGGGACATGCACTTTCTAGTTGGCTGTTCCTTCTCATAAAATTTGTACCCAAGATCTGTCATCTTTGCAAAGTGTAAACACGGTTTAGAACTCATAAAAAATGGAGAGACGTCTCACAAATTGCCGTGGATTCACATACATGTTGTCATTTGGATTCATGAACAGATTTTTGGCAGTAGCACTCAAATGCATTTAATAATTACAGTTGTCACGAGTATATATCCACAGAACTGTTTACCTAACCGGGTAAAACGCCTTCTGTAAATGTTATGTTTATGTTTATGCATTTAGCAGACGCTTTTATCCAAAGCGAATTTACAAAGTAGACACAATGTTACAGTTCTGACAATAAGCTCTCTAGAGGAAAATCCCTAGTCAGAGTCAGTGGTGACATCGAAAAGAAAGAGAGAAGCGGAGAAAGAGTATTAGAGGAGGTATAGAGGTATGGGTAAGAGTTAGGATTGGAGATGCTCTTTAAAGAGGTGGTCTTTAGGAGTTTAATGAAGATAGACAGGGACGCTGCTGTTCTAGTAGCGCTTGCCAGGTCATCCACCATCTTGGAACAACACATGAAAACAGTCTGGATTGTCTTGTGCATGGTGTGGGCACTGCTCGACAACAATCCAGTGAAGCTCAATAAACAGAGGGGTGGCGTGAGACTTTATTGATTGATCCTCCCCAAACTAGTATCAATTCCATTAAGAATCAGCACAGTAAAACAGGGGTTATAAATTTATATGAAAAAATCATATGAATAGAACCACCTAGCATACCAAGCGCATCTGCTTACTTGCTTCAACCACTTACTTTAATCCCCCTGCTGATCTCTGATCAACCAACCCTACTCTCTTCCGCTCTGCGCCCAATCGTTTGGCATGAGCAGCAGAACCCTGGATTACACCTTGTTGCAGGGGGAGCTGGATGCCCTGTGGTCTCCACTCCACAGTGTGTCCTCCCTGCACCAGCTGAGCAGGTCAATGAGCAGGTCAGTGATAGGTCTCTAAGGCTCTTCTCTGGGGTGTTGTGCAATACATTTCTGATTGGGTGATCTGTCAACAGTGACTTTGCACTGCAACCCTGAGAAAAGCCTGTGAGGTGGAAACGCCAACGGCCAAATTCATGCCCTTTAAACTTCTGTTAAGTCTCCGATTACCATCTGCCAAACGCTTTTAGAGTAGAAACAGCCAACTCTGACTCTTTGCAAATACAGGAATGAGAACACGTCTGTGTCCGTATATCATGGAATGGATCTTTTCAGCCATGTTATTATCATAGTGTGCCAACAAAGACTTTTTAATGTGGTTAGATTGTTTTCCTAATGTCTGATTAAATCTGAGCTTGTTCTTTGCCTTTGGCACCGTGATGGCACAGAATACATACATTCCGTCTGAAACATGACTGGCTTTGCATGCTGAGATGCTAATAACTGACACAAGAATTAGATTCAGCTGAAACGCAGACTCGTGATCGCACATAAATGAAAGTGGAAATGAAAGGGATGTCTTCATTTGCAGAAGTGTCCTTCTTTTATCTCTCTTTCACTTGCTTGTTTTGCCGCTCATCCATGTTTCCTTCCTGCTTCCTGATCACGGTGCAGCAACATCTGCTTTTTGGACATCAATTTTTACCAATAGATTTCCCGTCCTAAACACATTCTTTGTCTTGTTTACTCTTATCTCACTCCCGTTCCAGCTGTCTTCCTTCTCTCAGAGAGCTGTCCACTAATCGCAGCCTGGACAATTTGGATTGTATCGGAGGAACGGGACCTTTGGCACCATGGGATGATGATGACTTCAGTCAGGCCTGCAGCACTTTGGGCAGACGGAGTTGCATGGGGCAGGTTTGTGTTTACAGGGAACAGAAAGGGCCTTTATGTTTTTTTTTAAAAAGGATAACTTTCTATCAGTTATATGTATCTCATGTTGTGTCTAATTCAGAGGATATTTTTCTAATTAGTTATGAGTGTGTGTCTATGTGATCATAACTCACATCACTTAACCATGACCATGGACTTTTTTGCAACTCATCAGTCTTTCTCAAAGACCTCTTTGTTAGCCTGGAGCTGCACTCTATAATTTACATTTTCACTGATACAGCTCAAATGACTATGATATAATGAGCTTAGAGTGAACAAAGGATCACTATTTCAAAGTGTCTCACATCAATGTTATGACCCCATAAGATAAAAGAGTGACACTAGTAGTTTTCCCTCTAATTCATCTACTCATGGTTGAGCTATTAGCTTTCTGATAACAAAGTGACTTAGATAAAAAAGAATAAAAAATCAGCCGTGCAAAGTGGCTGTGGTTTTCCTCTTTGAAATAAATGAATGAATCAGGCTATTAACACAGAATTTTCACACAGTTGCTGACAGGTTGATGGATTACACTGAATTATCCTTATCTTTGCATGCCAATAAAGCAGACTTTTTGTAGTCTGGTGGTATAATTCTTGTCACATTTCCAAAGCACAATCATGTAAGGAGGAAAATAGCCATTGTATACCCAAACCTTTTCAAGATTGCACAAACGTAAGTAGGCATTACCATCACATTCGCTCCCTCATTTTCGTCTCTTTTGTGCTAACTTGCTTGTATTGACTCCCTTATGTCCATCTATAAACAATCAGTGGGTCATCAAAAGTGACATTACTTTGCCAAGTTTCTGTCAGTGAACAGCCAACTGAAAAACTGGTTTGCAACTTTCAAACGTCCCGGATGTCTGATTCAATTCTATATATATATATGTGCAGTGCCTGCATAAAACACAGTGAAAACTAAATAGAAGTGTGTATATTTGAACAGATTTCATACAGAAAATGTCCATGTAGAAGGGCCAGGGGACTATAAAGGGCGGTAGACATTTACTGGGTTAGACAGCTCTGGTAATTAGCACTGTCCTGGTACAAATCCCCAACTGTGGGCATTTTCTTGCTGTGTGTGCTTGGGTTGTCATGATTCTCCAACTTCCTGCAAAGTGCAAAAAACACGTATGTGAGGTTAACTGAAGACTCTGAATTGGCTGTAGGAGTGAATGCGTGCGATTGTTTGTCTCTTTGTGTGGGCCGGGGGTTGACTGACAGTCTGTCATGGTTGTACCCCGCCTCTTGCCTAATGACAGCTTGGATGGGCTCCAGCACCTCACAGCAGCCCTGGCAGGATCAAGCGGTATAGAAAACGGTTGGATGGATAGACCGCTCTGCGATCAAACTATTGAACCTTTTAAGTGTTTGAACTTTTGAACCGTATTGTTGCACTCCACTGCCACCCACCAGCTGTGTTTCACTGGACTGACCTGTGAGCGGTCAACTCTGGAGCATGGCTGCTGTTAGGTTTGCTGCAATTTTGCGTGTTGTTCACTGTTGTTGTTTCCCGTCTGCAGCTGCGAGAACTGGAAAGGAGCCATCACTATGAAGACCGCAGCTCCGAGTCTACTTTCAGAGATTCCCGCTCCCACTCTCAGGACAACACAGAGCCTCCAGATATGCCCATGCCGACGTGCTTCCGATCCCGCAGCCACAGCTACCTGAGAGCCATCCAGGCTGGCTGTTCCCAAGATGACGACACAGTGTCCATTGACTCATGCTGCTCTCCACCTCCGGACTCAACTGTTCGCACATACAGCACCAGCACTGGTGAGTCGGAATTATTTTCCCAAGACGTCATGTGTTCGTGGAGGATTTAAGATTTTCTGGCTATGAAGCACTGATATAAATTGAATTTATTCAAACTATACACTTTTAAAGTACATGTTGCTTTGGTTATTTGTTTCGGGGTCATAAAGTTTTATATTTCGGCACATTTCTCACTTAAATCCCAGTATGAAATGCTCAGATGGGCCAAACTCTTGCTTTGATTTGTATTCTTCCTTACATCCCTTTTAAATGCCCATCATACCCTTGGTCCCTGGTGAAGCCAATTTCCTCCACCGTGCTCCCAACATTATATTTAGCTCAAATGCAGCCTTTTTTGCCCATACTAGACGACCTTTCTGCACAGTGGATGACATGGAAAGAACAGTTTGCATCTTACCTGAAAGCCACTGGCTTGGATAAAGCCCCAAAGGAGAAACAACTTGCAATTTTTCTTCAGCGTTTTGGAACAGGCAGACCACGCATCCTACCCCCACACACAGGTAACGTTTAAAACCAGCTCTTCAACCCTAAATACGATTCTCTGAGTTTATCACTTCCACTTCATTGACTAATGAAGTTGAATTAAAGCACATATAAAAGTTAGACAGAGTCACAACAAATTGCTCTGTCCCTCCAAGTAGATCACTGTGCAAATGTGGTTACACTGAGTTTCATTACAGGTCAGATGCAAATGCGAGGACATAGAACATATAAATTCTGCCATTTTGATGTCAAATTCGCCAAAATAGATATGTCATGACAAGACATTTTGACAGGAGGTTTGGTCATATTGAAGCTGGACCAGTCCGGATACAGCTGTAAGGGTTTCATCTATGCATAGATCATCCACATGGTGGCGCTCTTCTCAAAGGAGCATGGGCTACTTTAATGTGTAATATTCATGTGGAAACTTTGAGATTCATGGTGCTGTTGGTTTTGTACTATGATACTATCCAGGATAGTCTGACGAATGTGAATCCTTTTGTCTTTATTTTTGCCAAATGACTACCTTTGGGGGGAAGGACTACACGAAAGAAGGATGAGGAAATGATGAGTGTCATCCCTTTTTTTTTACCATGTTTTTACACATGCTTTAAATACACCTTCTCTGACTGATTTAAATACTTTCTGGGTTATCTTTCATGATTAAACCAAAAATAGTGCACCCGTGTAGGAAAAGTCAAAGTAGTACAAAAAGTTCCAAACTTAAATGACTTATAGTGGATTGATCGCATATATAATTGTTATTGGATATAATTTAAATGTAATTGAATAAGGAAAATGTGTGTCTCCAAAATGATAAAATCTGATTCTTGTCGGGTTATGGCTGTTTTAAAGATATCCTTTTTACGTACGAAAAATAATGAATTAATTTCTGATCGCCCAACTACGTAGCTGAATTATCCGAGGTCTCATGAAGGCATCAGTCAGGCTGTCACCACGCCTCCGTGGAGTTTATAGGCTCCCCAAACAAAAACAACCAAACCCGGCTTTTCTGCTTCCTTGGTGTGACAGAAGGAGTGAATGAAAGCAACTAGCTGCCCAATAATTCTGGAAAAAGTTAAACTTGAAAAAAGAAAAATTTTTCAACCTGGTGCTGTGCATTTATCTGCTCCTGACAACAGGGTGAGTAACCCGTTTACAAGTTTACGCCGCAAACTTTCTGATGATTTAGCCCTTTTAATATACTTTTTTTCTGTTTATTTTAAGGTATGCGTTAATGTCTGGGCGGTTTCGGTAACTTCACCCTGTATAACGAGTCATTATAGACATTTAAATGTATTATTTTATTTGCTAATTGTGTCCGCGTTACATTAAATGTTCCATCGGGGATGCGCTTTTGAATTTAGTTTCATGCATTTGCCTCCATGTGCCCAAAACTGAGTATTCTGAGTATCACAGCATGAATGCATCTTCCTACCAGAATCCTCTCATGGCACAGATGCTTAGCTATAAGCTACTTAGTCATAATTATCCATTTTAATGGACAGTTAAATATATTCAGGTTTTTTGCTGGGCTGCTTCTTTTTGGAAGCTGAGATGGAAAACTGGTCCTCCCTGGGAATTATCTGAAGGCCGTCCTTCTTTTATGGTGGCTTGCACATTTGAGCATAGAATAAGATCTGGCTCTGAAGTCCCATTTAACAGAAAGAAAACCGTTTTGTAGCCTCAGGGACGCCCTGCTCAACCGTTACAAAGAGCATCACAATCCCCGTTTTGTCTTTCTGTTGTTCTCTTCTCTTCTTTCCCACCATAACCAAAACTGACCCACTTTTAGACACACAAACGACTTTTTCCCCCTCGGTTATTCCATACCAAATTAAGGCTGATTAGGGTTTCATTCATTTTACAAATCCTAGAAATGTCCAGAGTTAAGTCCTGGACACCTTCATAGTTCATCACCCACACACTCACACACACTCCAAGGTTCAATTTAGGAACATGTCAATCCAGACACGCCTGTTTTCGGACCGTGGGAGAAAGCTGACCACATGACTTGGACATAAAGAGGTTAGAGTAAACCAAACATGTAAATGAAAACACCCAAACTGATTCCCTCACAAGAGCAAAAGACTTTTAAGGTGCCTCTGCTAAGAAAGGTTAACCAGTACAATACTAGAGCTAAGATCTAAGAGAAGAAATGTCACAGGATGCGTGTTTTAAGATCCCCGCAGCTGACTTCTGTCATGTTTGTTACAGATATCAAATCAGTCCTCTGAGATTCCGGCCTTCAGTCGTCTGGTAGTTTTTCAGCTACTAGCAAAATAATAGTTATTTAATAAATAAATTAGTAACTTTTTTTAGTGTGCTAATAATGTCATCCTTTATGTTTGTGATGGGAAGACAGGTCAGTCACTGGGTGTCAAATATGTTAATTTCAGCACATTTCTGAGATGCTCTGTGGTAAACGATGCACATTTATATAGAACCTGAAGCTTATATTTTGGATGTATGTTGTTTTTCCTATGTTGTTATTTTTCATTATTATTTATAAGTATTATTTCCATTCAGTAATATGTCCAATAACCGGAAAACCCTCTCAGAATTACAGATTATCTCTATATCAGAGACCGTTTTATTTATTATTTTTAGGTCAACAGTTTTAGTCTCATCTGCACATTGATCCCGTGTTAACTGTTGAAACTTAAAACTAAAAGTGAGGGTGGTAACACTGGGAGTATTTGTGACGTAATTATCTCCCCACAGTGTCCACATGCCAAACTAAATCCCTTTAATAGTGATGAGACCTCAGTGTGTATTCCAGCATCATTACTTCCCACAGGTTGCTGTTTTTATGCTGTTTCCTTTGTTTTGTGACTCTACAGCCAAGATGCAATCTGTTGGTGGGGGGCAGCTTTTTTAATATCCTAATATCCTAATGCATCAACAGATATTAAACCGACCAGAGTCATGGGGTTGTTTCTCAGCATGAGGAACATCTTGCTGCTAATTGTTTTTCTTGACTTGAAAATCACGTCGGAGAACGGCCACTCGCAGTGGACAGCAGAACCACTGTTCCGATGGCATCTCAGCGCCCACTCCAGATTCCACTCGGACATTTTTGGCACCAGACCCGTGTTTGTTTTTGTGGCTAAGTCTCCCTCTAAGGAGCAGCCAGGGCTGCACTCTCTTGCAATGTTTTGGCCTAATTAAAAAGCCGCTGTTTTTGGCTCCACGTCCATTCTGGAGCTCTTTCCTTGGTACTGATGAGAGATTTTTTTTTCTTTTTTTTTTAAGGCTCTGCTGGCGTTGGCGCTATTATCTGTAACTGCTGCAAATTCATGGATGAGTGTTTTGCTTACGCAGCTGTGTTTGTGTGGCTTAGTTCTGTAAAGTAAGCAAATAGGCTTTTACTGGTTCTAAAATATGCCAGTTCCACTATTTGTCTGTGGCATGATTCTGCTGCTGGGGCATTTCTGAGGGCTTAGGGCAGGCATTTAAATCGTCTGGATTCGGATTTTGGGCTGTGCTGCCACTGGTTCTTGAGCTCGCCTAATTATTCCGAGTGAACAATGAGACGTGTGGTTCAACTCCAAACTTGTGTGAAACCGGTCTGATCTGTCCTGGGCCTGATCTGTGTTTGATTGTTAACCTTTTTTTTTCTTTTTCTTTTTGCAGATACAGAAACAATTAAAGCTTCAAAATGTCCAAAATTCGAACACATTAATGCTGCTAGAGGTGTTTTGAATCTTGATGATTTTAGTCTAGTGCTACGCCATATTGTCCTTTTCTACTTAGAAGCCTAAGGTCAACCAGATGGGAATGGACTGTCATTCATGCTGCATTTTGTTCAGCTAAGCACAAACATTCTGGAGATCAAATGTCAGTCTGATTAACTTTCAATGTCCTTGAACCATTAAAGGATTGTCCAGAGCCTAGAAATCACACCAAAAGGCCACAGTACCATGGATCACTCTGAAAATATTGGTTGACGTTGTCATACCCATCAAAAATCAGAGCTCATAATGGAAAAAAATGTTTTCCTCCATTTAGAAACAACAGAATGTAACACACCCTTTCCACACTGCCGTTAAAAAAAACATTAGCTGCTTTTCATACTGTCATTAGTTGACTGACTGACACACGATATCCTTTGTTGAAAGCTCACATTGCTTTTGCATGTCCTGTCCATTGTACCCGGCTTTACGACTTTATCTCCTGTCTAATCTCAGAGCCTGATGAGGGTTATGATTTCAGGGCTTGTTTCTGCGGATAAAGCAGAATCTTTGCCAGTAGGCTTAAAGGCAGACTAAACCACTTTTTCCAGTTGCTGCTTGCAAACACAGCACTCAGAAGTGGTGATGGGCAAACTGCAAATAAGAGACACACTGTGGAACGCTTTGGAACGAGGGAGTAAATCCGAACGATGAAATGCTCTTTTCTGACTGCGACGGTGTCGTGTCACCAGATTTTGTGGGAACGTTCACACCCTGTGTGTGCGTGTGGCACAGATTGCGAACACAAAGTGCAGAGACGAGGCCGGAGAGCCGGCATTTTAAACTAATCACTCTTCATCACACCCACGTGCTGCCGGAGGCTTGTGTCTGCCTTCTCTGCTATGGAGGGGAAAAACTTGCCAAAGGCAGCAAAAAGTAAGAAAAATCTCAGAGAATTTGACCCGTGCATAGAAACTCACTACCACACGTTGACAGTCCACAGAAGATCGTTCAGAGGCCACCCGTGTTCAATATGCTGAAAGCGTTACATGATGATTGCTGGAACGATGTTTGCTTTCTGATGCCCTGTTATTGTGTTTGTTTTTGCTATAAAAGCAAGCATAGTCCTCTCAGGAGTCCAAAATTCCTGCCCCATGGATTGTAACCGGGTAGTTATGCTAAAGATGGAAATTATTCTGGAATACAGTCGTGTGGTAAAGCTAGAAAGGTGTCAGAGCTATTCTGAAATCACTAATTAAATATGAGTTATTTAATGCATACAACAGATTTTAAATTTTTTTGTGGCCAATGGGGTTGCTTCCACTTCCACACATTTATGACAGTCATTGTGTCGCATCCTCATTTAGTCGGTGCCCGTTTGGTTTGTCAGCTTATTGTCTCTGCGATCCAGATGCTCAGGAATGAGGATGGTGCTGGGTTCTGGAGGCGGGCCAGCGGTGGAGTGGTTTGGGTGCCGTCCGTGGCGTTCACAAATGATCTCAGTGTTCTGGCTCTGCTGGAATGTGACCCTGAGTGGATTGCAGCGGTCCATCATTTAGTGTCACAGCTGAGTAGAGGGCCAGCACTTACAAAGGTGTCATGGCTGTTGCCAGGGGTTACACGTTTTCAGACACCCAGACCTTTATTTCACAAAAAAGTGAATGATTCCAGTAACATACCTGCTTCCTGTTTCACAGCCAGTCATGTAGCAGCTGTTGAGGCCGGCCCTGTTTCCTTGCGTAATTAAGGACGGCGGTCACAGCTGAAGAATTAAACCGGGCAGAAAGACGTGCTCGGGTCATGTGAGTTTTATGTCGGGTTAGGCTGGATACACATTGGAGATAAAGCTGAGAAAAGGATTAACAATGAACAACAACCCTTTTGTTGGTGTGTTTCCACAGCAGCTCACGTGTTTTCTGCACAACCTTTTCAAAATCTCTGATGTGTAGATTTTTTATCACCACTTTCAAGAAAGCACCACAGGCTTTAATCTTTCAGCATTTTTTTTTTAAAGCGGGGAAACTAATGTAGTTTTCTCTCATGTGACATTTGAACCGGTAGAATGTTCTGTCCAAAGTTTGACTCGATTTCTGACTTTGAGCTTTAAAATTTGATGCACATTTGACTGAAGATCACAACTGCTGAGTTGTCTAATCAAATAGACTTTGGTACAACTTAACGGCAGAGCCTGTGCAGTGGATTTGCTTGTGCTTAATGCACGATGAGCTCCCACGGAACAAGTTAGAACAGGTAGAATGGCTAGAATCCCACACAGGCGAGCTGTGGGCACACTTCATGGAATAACTCAATCCCACTCCCGTACATACCAACGGGGATAGTGGGTCAGTTCCATCACACGGCTAAATTGTACCCATAGCACAGCACCGCTCAACTGAGAGTGAATCTGTGTCAAATGCGTTTTTGCTTTTTGCTTCTGAATGGAAATTTGTCCAATTTAAGCTCTTGAAGAGATTTCATAGCATGCTTTACATTGAGCTGTAAAGAAATCCCCCTCTTAAAGGGGATGTGATCTCTAATTTCTGTCTTTTTTTTTGCATGATCTAAATTTGAATTCTGTATTCTTCAAGTTTTTGGATATTTGAAGTCAATGTAGTCTACGCATGTGTGATGTTAGGTGTGATTCATCTCTGGTTTTGAATGTTTCCTGGTGTTTTTGATGGAGATCTCCTCAGTCATCATACTTTTGTTTTTACCACCATCATCTGTGATGGAAGCTGTGTACTGATGTCATGCTTTGGTGGACACACGAGTTAAGATAAGCACACGAGTGGCTGTATAAATATGAAGGAATGTCCTCATAAAACAAAAAACTGTCCAGTGTGTGAGGATGTTAAACTGGGTCCAAAATCTGTTGTTTTTTATCTTGCGTGATGAGCTCATGGCATGCTGTGTGGATTTCATATAAGCCTACATGAAAGTTCCAACTTTAAGGAGCTCAGCTTTATCATTTGAACTATTTATCCATCCATTTTCTTTACAGCTTAATCCTAGTAGCGTTTAAAGCCTGTAGAGTATATTCTATTGTGTGACCTTTTAACTGTGCCGTGCAAGTTTGTCTAACACAAAACAAAGCTGTTCTGGGGTCAGTGCCCAGTTTTATACATCTAGAGGTTTTTTTAGGGTCTTCTCAGTGTTGCTGTCTAAATTGATTTTCATGTTCCCTTGATATTGCGTTCATTATCGTGATGTTCCAGCATTCATGCTGAGACTCTTTGTGAAAATGTGCAGTTCCAGACTGCCTGATGCATTCTGGGAAAACGTCAGTGATCCTGAGGATCAGTTTTTCTCAGAACTACCTGCCTATTTTCCATACACTTTGCTTAAAGAATTCTGTTTTTTCTAATCTTCCTATCCCCATTTGCCACTTCTACCTACTCTTTCCCTTCAGTCTCCACATGCATAACCACCTCTAAGAAGACTGCTCCACCACCGGTGCCCCCGCGCACAACCTCCAAGCCCTACATCTCTGTGACCGTTCAGAGCAGCACAGAGTCTGCACAGGACAACTACTTGGACCAGCAGGACAGAAGGTCAGAGGTCAACAGCCAGTCGAGCCACGCTCACAGTAATTCCTCTGACAGCCTTGACAGCACCCGTGCCAACAGCCTGGCCCGGGGGATCCCCCGCCCTCCGCACATCATCGCCACTCCCGTCGCCACGCCGAGGGAGCCAATAGCCCCCAACACCGCCAACGCTTCCACTGAGACCAGTGATTCAGCAGTCCAAAATGAGTCTCTGAAATCGGGCTCTTATAAAGGGAATCTGGTGGCGGAAGAGCCATTCGTAGCCCCGGTGCCCAGGCGGAAACTGTCCTCCATCGGCATACAGGTACGCCGGGGTTTTATTTCCCCTGTGGCATGATTTAAGGCTTGTGAAGTTCAAAAGGTGTTGTTACCACACAGAAAAAGCATGTCGCGCGTTCAGTGTAATGTCGAAGCCATACTGTGTCATCTCAACTAAAGGTCTGATTACTGTGAACCTTACATTGTCATTAGTCCTGTCTCATTGTCATTAGAGCTGGAATTATATGTACTGTAGCACTTAAGACAAATCCTTTATCTTTTCCACAGCCCCAACATTCTGTTGTATATAACAGAAAAATTAATCTATTTCTCCAGATCCTGAACATTAGCAAATCTTTCCTTTTGTACTTACTCTCTAAGAATTTAAGATATTCTGCACAGCCTTTCTTATGCTCATTAGAAGTCCTGAATTAAGGTACTATTAAAGAAAAATAGATTCTTAAACTTTTTTTCCCCCAAATAATATTTCTTCCTTTTTAAGGTTGATTGTATTCAGGAAGTTCCACGAGAAGAGACCCCACCACTGGCCAAATTTCAGTCAATTGGAGTACAGGTGGAGGACGGGTGGCAGTAAGTCCTCTTCCTGTCCTTTTAACAACGTGAGGAATTTATATTATAGCCACACACACTCCTGAATGTTTCTCCATTTCCAGGACCTCTGTACAAGTGACTTCATGCTGAGTCTTTTTTTGTGTTGTGGTAGTCGTGTTGAAGCACATATCTCTGAGCATTTACTGTTTAAAGACCCCCCCGCCCCAGACATGTTAAGTTCATTTTGGAAGTTTGAAAACCAAAGCGATAATCTCATTGTGGAGAACGTTTAAAGCAAAAGTCTTACTCAGGACGTATTCTTCTCTTTGTAATATGAAATTTAGTTTCACATAACATTTTATTCCCATTGGACCATAATAGTCTGCTGAAGAACTTAGCTGTTTGGTCCTTGTTTCAGATTTAAGATGAAAAAAAACAGTCCTTTTGTGTCCAACTCAGTTTTTTTGTATTGGAGAGGGGACTTTAAATTTGTTTCTGCTTATTATTGAAACCCATATTGTGACTTTGTTTTTGCCATCTAGTTTTCATTCTGTGCTTGTAATGTTGAATGTCTTGCGGTTCTGGGCTCGGAATGCCCTCCCTGTTTTCTTTCTTGCTTTTGTATTGTGGGTATAGCGTTGCTTTCAATCTATAGTCCTCCGGGGCTAGTGCCCAGTTTCCCAGTTGAGTTTGACGTTTCAGGGACTTTTTAAGGGCTTTTCCAGAAGCTGTTGAGAGATCCACTAAATTTGAATCAGGTGTGTATTGAAAGCATTGAAACATCTCAAATATGGTGGGCAGAGGCCTTAAGGGCTGGAGTTTGGCTACACTGAATCAAAGTTTGTACATACAGTAGCAGATGTGCTGATAGCTGTTGTGTACCACGGTGAACGCATGGCCAGTGCAGAAAAAAGTATTTTCCAGCTTTAGTTTAGTTTGTTTCTCCCCTGCTGCCACAACTAAATTCCTAAGATACAATTATTAATTCGTCTCAAATACGAGTACGTCAGGGAGGATGAGAGATCACTTCCATTCCTCTCTCTTTGGGTCACCAGGGTCCAGCCCCACTGTGCTGCAGCACAATGCTGTCATCATCAGTTACAGGTCATGGCAAAACGTTAAATACCAAAAAGCTTTTGGAATTGTACAAACTTATTGGTACAATGATTTTGAGATTCATAATTGAAGCTAAAGGCAGTCCATCAAAATAAGTCTTTGACCTTCTCGGCCAGTGATGTTATTTCCTGCTTCTTAATTTGATGTTGTATACATAAACTTTTACTTGGCTGTAGTATGGATTGTGACCTCCATTTCCGCTTTTACTGTTTCTTTGTACATCAGCTGTTGGTGGACGAAACAGTGTTTCATTGGTTGGCTGAACGGCAGCTAATACATATTTCCTAAACCAAGGCTTTATGTGGAAGCCATTCTTTCATATGCCATGCAGGGACAGGACTCTTACAGGGTGCTAGTCTGAGTGTACTATCATCAAGTATCTAGTTTCTGATTGATCCATTTAGTTGCATCTACCTGCAGAAACAACTGTGTTGAAACTAAGTGAAACAATTTATCCCAGTTACCGAGATGGGATTCTTGAATGATTTGTTTCTCTGAGTGTGGTCTTTGGGGCGAGGGAGTAGGCGGGGGCTTAAAATGAAAATGCCTTTTGTAATAGTAAGTGTCACCTTATTTCCTTTCAGGCTCAGTCGCTCCAGTAGCATGGCCTCCAAACAAGAAACAGACTCAGACACACAGGACATATCTGCCATTTCTCATATCACCAATGCCAAACCCTTTGAGAAGAAAGTCATGGTCAACAGTGCCAGCCAGTCTATGAGCTCCCCACCTGGACAAGACTCTTTAGACAACGGAGAGCCAACGGGTGACACATCTTCCCCCCCACCACCTAGACAGATTCTCAACCGCTCCACCACACGGAGCAGCTCCTCCTCTTTCTCAGAGAGTCTGGACCCAGCTCTGGACCCCTCATCCCTTCCACCTCCAGACCCCTGGCTGGACAGCGGGAATGGTAACAACAGCAGCGTCCCGCGGGGGGGCGGAGGGGGAACGCTATGTCGGAGAGATGGCCACTGGTTCCTGAAGCTGCTGCAGGCTGAGACGGGGCGCATGGAGGGCTGGTGCCAGCAGATGGAGCAGGAAACCAAAGACAACCAGCTCTCAGACGAGGGTAAGGATGGAAATGTGGTGTTGGAATTTATGAGTTGTCTGGTGTTTTGTTGAGCTGCTGAACCGTCAATTGAAACGTTTTGGTTATGACACGTTCTATATTCAGTTACAGTGTGTGACTGATTACACAACAAGTGTTTTTATGTTTTAGGTGACATTTTAATGTCTATTCGGTGTCTATTCAGCTTGTGTAAAAAAAAAATGGTATGAACATTTCTCCAAATCTAGATCTTTAACAAAAAAGGTTATTTTCAATGCATAATTGTGGAAAACGTTTTTAAGTTAGTGAGGATTATACATCTATTAAGATGTGTGTTCGTTCTTGCAAGCTGTGCTATAGATAAATCCAAATACCCCTCTTGGGTTTTTATAGTAATAGATTGGCCAAAATTGAGTGTTGTTTGGCCTATAAGTGCACAGCAGAAGAGGCTGTATAGTCACTTCATTGACTTAGTCTTGAAGATGTATTCAACTATGTTCAAATGATTAAGAAATGTCTGGCTTTTTTCTCGTGGTGCAGAGCTTGGTCATAGACCTCTGTCCAAGTCCCAATAATATCCAACACAGCATGGAGTTGTGCAAGGCCGTAATAGATGCGGTCACCACGCATAAGTAGGTCTGTAATCTGCAGAATTACACAAAGCTAGTCTGGAACTGATTAAACCTCTAGGTTAGATTAGTGCCTCAACATCAGCCTATGGCATAAAGCAGCGAGGGCATTATCAAATACGGACCAAACATGCCAATCACATGAAAGCTTTGGACATTCAGTTTTAATCAGATGTGCATGATCGATATGTGAACAAAACCCCTTGTGTCAGTGCAGGTCTGTTTTAGAATTTTTCTAAATGTATTTTTCAGATGTATGGCAACTATTTAAAGTGGTCTGCTTAAATCTGCTGCAAATCTGCTGTCCAAAGCTGGGTCTCAACTCACTCCAATCCTGTTGCCATAGCTTGAAATCCACTGATCAGAGAGGAGTCCCAGTTTTTTTTAAGGCAGATGTTTGTCTCATTTTGACCCAGCAGCGGACAGACAGAAGGTAGTACACCAATAGTTTTAGGTTCATGTAAAATGAATCTTATTGTCAAATACATTGTTATTCCTCTTATTCCACCTTGGGAATTGTTTAAGGGATTTCAGTGCAATCATGGCCATGACTCAACAGCTGGTATGGTCAGTATGGTTGTGATTACAGACAAACTGCTGAGTGAATGCTAAAGCTATATTTCCTGAACAAACCCAGGACACACACAAAAACAATGTGTTGTTGATATTTCTTTTTCTTTTTTTTACTCTAGTTCTGGGGAAAGTCCGCAGTGCTGTAGGAAGTGCTCAGCTTCTAATGTCTCAGAAGTTCCAGCAGTTCCGGGGACTGTGTGAACAAAACTTGGTGCGTATCGTGTCTCTCTTTGACACTTCCACCAAACAGATATGACACAGATTCTCACCGCTGGTTGTTAAAATCAAGCCAACTGTTCTCATGTTATATACATGTCTTTAATAAAGGCTTATTCGTATTGCAGTGTAAAAGATTATATCCTCTTGAAAGCTGACTACTCTGTGCAGCCATGCTACACAGCATATTAGGCATCTATAAAATCAGTCATAAGGACTACAGCTGCAAATGATGAACCAGCAAGCCCCTTTCTCTCAGCTGACGTGTTTTAGTGAAAATGGCATTAAACAAATTGTAGACGTCCACCAGCGCATGACTTGTAGGATAAGTGGTAAACATGATTCCTCAAGTGTTGAGGTAGCGCTGAGAGCAGCTGCCTAAATGTGGTGGTCAGTGTGTAGTCGCACAAACAAAAACTGCTTTGATCACTTCAAACAAAGGATCATATAAAATATATAATTGCCGGATTTGTTCTTTTTATCTGCTAAGCCTATCTGCAGGCTTTGGATGATATAAAAAGCACAGAGCCAGTTCTTCACATTGTGAATAAAAGGTGCATTGCTACTGCTGAAGTGACAAGGGATCCTTATTCCCTTTGACTTCTTTTTTCATGTTGAAAGTGTGCAGCCTTCGGTACACTGAAAGGAAGCCTGATGAATATCTGAAAATGATCAAATGTGACCCTGCCATGATCATCACTGGTTGTTTCGGCGTAATCATTTAGTTCTACAGCTCCCTCTAGTGTTGAACGTGAAGAGCAGCAACAAGTCTGAAAGGGACTTTTCTTAAAGATGAAAGTTTTTTTTTTAAATTACACTGAATTAATAAATGATGTAAACAATTTAAAAAAGCCATTTTTACCATAACGTTACACCATGTGCAGCCTTTTGAGAATATAGCTTCCCCTCTAGAAACATGACAGCCTCCTTGACTATCTGTTGATAAAAAAAATGTGATGAACACTCCAATGTGTAAAAATCCCTTCAGCTTTATTATACAGTCACTGCCAATCATTTTCATCGCCTGCTTTTTCCTGTGGTCAGAATGTGAATGCCAACCCGCGGCCCACGGCCCAGGACCTGGCTGGTTTTTGGGACCTGCTGCAGCTCTCGATTGAGGACATCAGCCTTAAGTTCGATGAGCTCTACCATCTCAAGTCCAATGACTGGCAGCCTGTACCATCTGCGGCTGCCCAGTCGCCCCCTGAGCGGAAGGTACTGCCCACCCATGCTGCCCAGTGCCCTGGCTGGGGTAGGAAAGCCGCCGAAACCGGCCTCTCTCCTCCTACCACCACCACCATTTCTCCCACTTTTTTTTTTTAACCCCATCCCTTCATGGGATGAACTCAAACAGGGCCTCCCTGTCTAATGCAAGGGGGCCAAAGAGATCCCCCAGGCATGCATGGGAACAAAACCATCTCAAAGAGGGCTGACACTGGTGTGTTTTGAAGTCCAAAGCCTTGCTTTGAGCATGCATGCGTCATTCCCTGATGTGTGTATTGAAGTGGAGCATGGTCAAGATGCGCTGCTTCATGTGACAGAATCCAGTTTTGCTTTTGCTCTTTAAATGTATTCCTTTGTGTTTGTTTGGCTTTCTGGAGATTATGAATAACAAAGTGTGTTCTTGTGATGTGTTTTTTTTGCGCAAAGCTTCTGTGGATGCCATGCATTTGCTGTTTGTTGCTTATCAGTTCAAATGTACTGGCTGTGTCCTGTGATCTTTTTGACTTAAGTTTATCCCAGTGTGCCCATCAATTCATGTTCCCATTTCATATCTGAAAACCATCAACTGAATGTTAGTTTGTTGATGCTGCCTTTTGACAAACTGTCTGTGTCTGCGTTTTCTGTCCATTGTCTATGTCTATCTCTGTAACTGATCAGCTTTGGCGATTTGTCAAGTCTTGTCCGTCAGATATGATCAAAAGCAGTTCATATTGTCTCACTGTGCTGTGTTCTGTTTTGTTTTTTTCTCACCTCCCCCGGTTTCTTCACTCCCAACTCAGCAGACCGAGGAGACGGCGCCCCCTCCAGCATCAAAGAAGCCTGGTAAGGGTCGACCACCGCTTGGCCGGGAGAAGAGTGCGGACTCTTCATCCACTTCTTCATCAGCCTCAGCAGAAAAGCAGAGACAGGAGGCCCGCAAGCGGCTGCTGGCTGCTAAGAAGGCCGCCTCATTTCGCCAGAACTCCGCCACAGAGAGCGCTGACAGCATAGAAATTTACGTCCCCGAGGCCCAAACTCGCCTCTGAAAGAACTGTTGAGAGGGATCACCGGACAGATAAGTGTCCCTGGATAAGCAGAAGGACTTTTTTTTGCTTTCATGTGAGTGAGCAACGCTAAGTAAAGATAGATTGGCGGTGTGGGGGATGAGACATGTCCAGATGAGGGGGTTTATTGGCTTTTGACATTTACAATTATAGGCTGGTCCTGGTTGAAACGGAAGATGTGACAGTGACTTTTTGTGGACCCGTCGGAGGATGATGCAGAAAACCCCTCATTAGAGGATGCCACTGAAGACCTCAGCTGATGAACTTTCTTGTTACTATTCCCGATGACATACAAATTGTTAATGAAAATATTATTAGGACAATTCTAGGCTAACGAATCTATATGAGGACTATTTTAAAAGTTCCTGTATCTTGGCTATAAGACTTATTAAGTGGACAGAAGGTAAGCATTAACTCTTCTGTCGCCCACTGTCTTGCTTTCTTCCCAGATCACTGGCCATCTCGTAGCTTTGCACAGCACCACCTTGTGGACACCATGCACACTGCACACACCACAAATTCACATATGTATGTCTTCCCTCTTTTTCTTTCTTCATCTTTTGATTTATGTGAAAGTCCACTTATATCAGGTTATTCGCAATATTTTGGTATGACGTTGGAAGACAGGTTTTAAAGATTATTTATATAGTTCCTAGCAATTCACTCTTCTCCATGTCCTCAGAATGTTTTGTGTCAAACATTTTTAATACCAGTGAGAAAATGTAATCTTTTTCAGAATGGGTTTGGAATGACAGCACATAGACACATTAACAAAGAGCGTGCATGAGAAACTGTTGTTTCGGGGGGGGAGGGTTTAAAGTCCCTCCTGTTTCTTTTACTTCTATTGTAGTCCTTTGCTTTTCTTTTTTGTACCGTAACAAAAGATTAATAGATATTTCTCAGTTTAATGTTTCAATAATCTTTAAGTGCTTTTTAATATCCTCACCGACCGTTAAACCTGCATATATAAATTTAATCCAAACCTTATAATGAAGTGATGCCACAGGCCAAGTATGCAGGTTTAAGAATTGTCATCTATTTTGCTTCCCATGAACCACTAAAATCAATTTTCAGTGTTAAAATCATTCCTCCTCACTGAATTTCTTTTTTTTTTGGTCTTTTTTTTAATTAAAGCATTACATTCATTCATTTATTGTTGTGTTTTCATCATTTATCCAAACGTTTTTTTTTATTTTCTCCACCGAAGACTGCAGAGGCCAAAGATGAATTCATTGTTTCAGATTCATTTCATGCATTGACACGCCGGCAGCAGGGTCGACTGTCTCAACAGTTGACTGTGAAAACAGAAGAACTGGACTATAGCCACACAAACATATGTTTGTACAGATTTTACATTTCGATATGCACAGGCCAGGAAGCTTGAACAGAACCGCCCACCAGTACAACAACAAAATTGCTTTGGAGATTTCAGAGCCAGTACACTCCCCTTCCTGGCCCAGAAAAAGGGCATTTATGGAGAGCATCGTTTCTGATCTGTGAAGTGGAACCTTCTTGCATTTCAATCCAGTATGCACAAATATTGAGTCCAATGGAGGAGCATCCATATTTTATCAAACACCGTTCTGTGTCCTGTGCCTGCATTAACAGAACACCCTGTGTTAATTGAACGTATTTACATACTTCTCGGTCCCATCTGAACCCTCTTTGCAACACAAAGACATCTAAAGCAAGGCTCTCGGTTTATCGCATGAAATCTGCAAGTAAGTGCTATAAGATTTGACACTGACAATAAAGGTCCAATTACACAATCAAGAGGGAGATGCCTTGGGTTAACCACTCCTTGTGAGTGTGTGTCTTTCACTCACGTTTTACTTTTTGGCAAATAATGCTTTGGTGGGTGCAGTGTCCCTTTCACCCACTGTGTCTCAAAACCTGCGCCTGAGACGTTGAATTGGAAAAGGCCAATGAGCCCCATTCTTCTTGCTTGGTGTTGGCGAGACCTTTCCGTTGATGGCAGCCCATTGTTTGCCTGTTCTGTTTGCCTGCTGGGGATGACGCTTCACAGGGAAAATTGCTCAGGGGTGTCAATGGTCAGTCCCCCCACAGACTTCATTACCTCCACGTCCATTTGACTGCAGTGGATAGAATCGTTAACACCTGATGGCCTTTTGTGTCACATGAACTGACTTGATTTGATTTCTGACTGCCACTACAAACCTGTCTGATGAGGTGTTCTTCTAATACAAGCGTAGGTAGCCGTCTCTAAATTTGTGTCAACTTCATTTCCTTGAAGTCAAAATAGTATATCAGCTAACTTTATTTTTTAACTGCTCCTATCACTATAAAGATGTATTTGATATGCTGCATCACTTCACATTTGCTGTTCTATATTTTTCCAAAGATGTTTTTTTTTCTCTAAACAAGCCCCACTGTCAATTTCATCAGTGTAATCTGCGTATATTGAGTGCAGGTAAAACACACAGTGGCGTGTCAGTTACACAGAGGGAAAGGAGAGCCAACAGAGAAAGCTGCTATATGACTGAAAAGTCAACACTTTTTCCACTCTGCTGACGTTCGGATGTGTGAAATGCAAAAACCTGTCAGCTGCATACTTAAAGAGACAAAAGCTTATCTCATACATTTAAACAGGGCTCTGTCTCTAGTATACACACACATAGATCTAAGACAAAGCTACGTCTATTTCCTGAGCTGAGTCGTCCATGATCCAAGTAGCTCCACTTAGTTTTGGAGGTGGGTTGGGAGGAGGGGGCATGCTGTAGAAGTCCCTGATTTGAAAGCGGTAGCTGTCCCCATGCGCACAGATTTTATGGTGTTCATCCTTAACGTATGTTTAAGCAGTAAACTCCTTTGCTTGACTTTAATCTTGAGAGATCACTCACATTTTTGGGAGATTTCAGTTGCTGTGAGGAATTTGTCACCATCAGCTCTTGACAGTAGTAAAATGAATGGAATATAAATATTTTATAAAATATATTACTCTGGTCTCCAGAGGGGTAACATGGCCTCTTTGATATCGTTACTCCAGTCCTTTATTATAATCTCACTTTTCTAGAAATAGTTTTGACGTTTGCCAAATGTTTACTTCCCATCAAGGTTATTGGGTTTTCCACTCTCAGAGGAATATGTTTGGCTGTCTCAAAGGCAAGTGAATAACAGGTTAGCCCCAGAGTGATAGTTTATCTCAACTGCAGTGATCATACTTCTTAACATTACTCTGAAGGCTGGCTTGTAAAAATGAAAGTAAAAACAAGCTCATTAGCATCTTTGCTTTGTTCCACAAAGGCAAAACCTGGGAAGGGGTGAGGGGCAAAGGCCGTGCTCACACCTCCAGAGAGATGATGTAGCAAAAAGTGTCTTCAAATAAATATTTTTATGAAGCAAGCACATATTTTAGAGTCTGTTCCTTAGAATACTATATAAGATGTGTGTATTTCAGGGTTTGATGGATTTAGAAAAAAAAAGTTACAGTGTGAGATAAAATTGTGAGTGAGTGGGAGTGTTCTTCTTAAAATGTGATTTACCAAGATTCCTTTTCGCTATGCTCTGGTAACAAAGTTTGTGCTATACAGAGTAAAGGGGTTCTTTGATATCGATATTAACATGAGACTATAATGCATTATTCCCCATGTGCTTCTCAAACCCATTCTGTGTAAATAGAAACAAAACCAGACTAAAATTGTCATATTTTACAATGCTGTAGACCTGTTTATACAATTACAAGGTTGTTAACATGTATAATGCAGAGACAGTATTCAATAAAATGCACACAATACTTTCTCAAAAGGTTCACCTGACTGTACTTGTTCAACATTTTATACCCCTTCGTTTTATTGAAAGGGTGATTCCGTTTGACAGTTTACTTCCAATCGCTGTATTTAAGGGGATCTCCTAATCTGTTATAAATGTTAAATCCTGCATAAAGTGGAGCAAACTGTTTATCAAGACGTCAGTTTACTCTCCAAAGACATGTAGCCTAGTATAAATCAAAAGCTTGAACTCATTGGATAATTAAGTCTTTAGATTTCCACGTGAATGATTGACTGAAAATATTTGTGACTATGGCATCATGGGTCTCTCAATTTTGATCATTAATCGACGTTTTCGTTCACTCGTGATTTACGTAACGAGAACATTTTGCACATTGTTACGTAAAGTCATAGATGTCTCCCGTCGGCGGGGGACATTTCTGACCTACATGTTCGAATTAAACTACGCAAAGACATATGCTCCATCGATTTTGCATCGGGATAACAGTAGAGGTTCAACGGTGGCGACGAAAAATGTTTCAATGACCGTCTGCGTTTTGTTTTGAATGAAATGGCTCTCCCCGTCAATCACAGCAACACAGCCGTCTAGCCGCTGTCTGAAGGAGCCTCGTGATTGGCTAACGAGTACCCTGGAGGCGTCATATAGAGATGTGATTGGTTGATAGAAGATGTTGAGGCGGGATCAATTCAGCTGCGACTGTCAAGATTGGCAAAGCATTGGCGCTGCTGTTGCGTGCAGGTAGAAAGAACAAGCGACAAAAAAAACAGAAAACACTCGTCCTGGCTTTCAGCTAAGAGTGCAATGGAAACGTGGAGTCCTTCTCGCGTGCTACAACCTAAAAAGCAAGGTTTTTAAATCGGTGAAAAAAAGCACAACACCTTTCGCGTCTTGGAAGAAAGTGCTGTTGTGTCAACCATCGTTTGGCTCCCGTTCACGCTTTGTACAGCGAGCAACTTGGACAGCTGCGTGTTCGAGCCATCAACAAAGAATGAAACCAGCGAAACGAGGTGAGCGCCACTCGGCTCGTGTTTTTAATCTCTGCCGTGTGCATTCTCCACTCTCGGAGCGCATGTTTGCGAGCCCCCCCGAGTGTCTTTTTTTGCCGTTGAGTCCGCACGTTAGCCGAGTTTTTTTTTTGTCGCGAGCAAACGCCGCGTGCGCTTGTGTTTGAATTTGGAGGGACAGCTAGCCAGCTAGTTAGTTATCACCGGAGGCAGGCATGGTGTCCATCTGGCGGAGCGACATGCGGGAGGCAGCGCGTTGTTTGCTGCCCTCTTTGTGCGCTCCAGATGGCTCGTTTACCGAGCGGACTCCTCGGTTCGTCCACCCGGGCGGTACTTTGTGTGTGTGTGTTTTTTTTTTATTTTTTATTGCTGTAAGCCGTGTGTTCGCGGCTAGGACAAAGCGAGCTGTTTGGGGAAGTCCGATTGGTAACTTGGTGGGACGGTGTTACTAACGGACACGTTCAAATGCCCACTGAAGCAGCTCGTCAGTTCTTTTTTTCCTTTCGTTTTTCTTTTTAATTTTTTTAAACTTTCTTTCGGTTTGGACTTTGCAGGCCACATATTTCACAGCTGGTGTTATACAGAGGGGGCATTTTGTAAACAAGAAGTTGGCCTGTTTGACAGCCAGTGCGATTTAACACTTAGCTGTCGATAGTGTGTCTTTGATGGGTTCTGAGCCGCTTCTCCACAACTGGGATCTGCGGTTTTAGGATAAAAGTTCATCCTCACTGCGTTACGGCAGTGGAGTCGTGGGGGGGCTGTTTTGTTGTGGTATCACGTACACCACGTTTCTCCAAAGGGCTGCAGCCATATCCTAAAATGTATCAAGTAAGAGTCCCTTTTTTTTTCAGATCATTTGAACATATGTGAAATATTATCCTGATGTAAATAAATATCCGGAGCTTTTTTTTAATGTAAGGTTTAAAAGTTTTTTTTTTTTTTTTAAGGGGGTGTGAGCCCATTGGCAATCAACTTCAAAATATGGGATTTGTAACAGGATAAACTCATTATGTTGTAGATTTGAGGATTGTTTGCACTCAAATTGTGCTCTGTGAAGGTCAGTTCTGCTTTCACATATCGAGCAGTGTTGTTTGGAGACAAAAGCACAGATTTTTCTAATTGGCAAATGTGTTCCTTATTTGGTCCAGCGCATCCCTACTGGCCCCAGAGTGCACAGTCAAAAAGATTTTTCAATTTCCCCCACCGTTTTTGGTCCTAAGGAGCAACCGTGAGGTGGATACGGCCTCCTTTACATGCTCAATAGATTCCTGGGCCACTGGCTACTGTGATGTTGATATGCACACAATCTCCTTTGTGAGGACAGGCGCTGCCCCCGGGGGTCAGGTTTCACCCAGCCCCACAGAAAGACATTTACTGCATTCTGTGGCCCACCCCTGGGATCAGGCATGCTCCATTTTGAGGGGAGATTTCCTTCAGTGTCCGGCCACTGCATTAAATAAAAGTTCAAATCTTAAAGCTTTCGTTTTCTCACAGCTTCCACACAGTTCTACTTTTCCTTTCTTTTTTCTTTTCAGTTCAAACGTGGAAAATCTTGCTTGTTAAAAGTCGCTGACCAGTGCGCACACTAGCCCTCCGCTCAGTCCTTTGACCAGCTCGAACCATTTCTTTGCCCATCTGCCTGTATGGCATCCGCTTTTGTGAGGGCACAGTTTAGCTCTCATTTCTTGCCTGAAAGTGGATCAAACCTTTTGTGCAGAAAGCGGCTGTGTGCATATGAGGCTACAGCCAATCACAGGAGAATAAGCGTCTGTATAATGAGCACGCCCTGGCTAGACCGGCAGACATTTGATATGGAGGTGTTAAATGCTTATGATGAGTCCTCATTGTAAGGTGGCGCTTTGATTCTCCTTCCTCAGCTATGGAGGAAGAGCATCGCCCGGAGCAGGAGCACTCTTCGGCCATGTCTGACAGCGATGACGGCTCCCCGCTCGACCTGTCAGGAAGAGGGCTCCTTGGGAAGCGTCGTCGCCGTGGCAACCTACCCAAGGAGGCGGTGCAGATTCTTCGGAGTTGGCTGTACGAGCACCGCTTCAACGCCTATCCATCAGAGCAGGAGAAACTGAGCCTGTCGGGGCAGACCAACCTCTCTCTGCTGCAGGTAGGGGGGGCTTATTCTGCTATTCAAATGTCTTAATCATACGTGTCTCTTTTGAGAAATAATGTCATATAGGTAATGACAAGCCCATGAAATTAATGACATCTGTAATGCAAGGTTATAATTTTAATCAATTTTTTATTTTTTTTATTTTTAAAGTGTGAGCATTTTGGAAAAAGTTAAATTAAAAGCGTCAGATCGCGTTGGGACATTGCCCTGCCGTGAACAACCTTTCCACTGTAGTGCTTTTTCACTTTGTCGCATCACAAGTAGACATTTCCTCTCTCCATCTTGACATACGAACAGCAGCAGCAGCAGATAAGACGTCACAGAGCAGTTGGAGGCAGCGGCAGAGTTCCTTGTTATGTAGTCAGTTCAGTGGAATGCCTTTGGCAGGTTTCTCTGTGGCTCAGCATATTTGAGCTCAGACCTTCATTATTGCCAGCTGTCTGAGCGCTCGCTGCGGTCTGTCTCACCCCCCGTGCCACTAGAGGGAGCGAGTCCAGTTATGGGTCCAGCTAACTGGGCTTTCCTCAGATCTGATAGTCAGAATTAAATAACGGGGTGTTTGTTGATAATTGCAGCGTAGAATGAGGTTTTAGTTTTAAGCTTCCACTTGAGCTTCTGTTAATGCCAGCCATTTCTCCTTTTCCCCAGATATGCAACTGGTTCATCAACGCCCGTCGGCGTCTGCTGCCTGACCTGCTTCGAAAAGATGGCAAAGACCCCACTAAGTTCACCATCTCTCGTAAGGTCGGGGGTAAAAATGAAGGCCCCTCCACCGGAGGCGGATCCAGCTCTCCAGAACACACTCCCAATTCCTCCCAGCACCGCCCGTCTGTGATCCGCTCCGCACCTACTCTGGACCTCAGCCTACTGGGCAGCACGGCAACAGCCATTCTGACAGGAGCCGGCTACCCTGGTAAGGAGGGCTCCGTCCAGGCGCTTATGAGGCTGGACACGCGGAGTCTGTTGAGGGAGGCAGAGGAAAAGGGGGCTCAGTCTTTTGGTCTGAGCAGCACAACAATAGCGGCGAGCCCTACCAATGGCCTCTTCAACACGCCCCCGCCCACGCCCCCCGAGCTGTACCCAGCCCAAGACTTCAGTGATCTGAGGCTCCTCGTAGACGCGGCTCTGCAAAGGGCTGCAGAGCAAGAGAGAAGTGAGGGGAGCCAGAACAAACCCCCAGAGGTTGATGGGGAGCCAAGTGCTCACAGCGGTGACATGGGCCCAACCCCACCTCCAGAGGAGAAAGTCATGGATCCTTCCAGGGTGCAGAGCTTGATGGAGAAGGCAATGGCTCCTCCTGTGTCGGATGGAATAAAATCTCCTGTTCCCGTGTCCTCGGGAGCCCCTGTGCCGGTCCCACCTCCAGTGCTGCTCTCAGCCTCAAGGCTATCCCCTCTTCCCATGAATAAAGTGGTATGGAGTCCCTTGGAGAAGGACCACCCTGTCCATGCCTCCAGCCCAAACCAGCCTCAGCTCATTCCAGCACATCTGCCGACGATAGTGCCGGTGTCTGCCTTAGTGCTGGGACAGCCAGATCCTCAGAAACCAGCTGCTGTTCCAGCCATAACCCCAGCTACACCATCAGCCTCAGCCTCAACCTCAGGCTCACCTCCCACTACAGGTATTAAAATTCATTCAGTAAGATCACTAGCTCCTGCCAGCCAGGGTTCGTGCGCGGCTGCCAGAGGGGCGGCGCTCCACCAGCCGTTCCGCAGTCCTCCCCTGATGTCGGTAACGGCCCCGTGCCCGCTGCCCACCTCGCCCTCGGTGTCACTGGCCACGCCGGCGTCCGCCCCCGCCCAGGCTCCAGCCGCGCCCATGTCCACATCTGTGATCACACCTCTGCTGGGCCTCTCCTCCCACCTCGCTGCTCCTCTGCAGCCCTCCACAGGTGGCAGCGGCAGTCTGCAGCGGAATTCCACGGTCGTGCCCAGCGTCTGGAGCATGGTTCACGCTCACACCAGGCAACCCAGTTCACTACAGGTGGTCAAGGCCCCAATGAGCACAGTGTGGGGGCAGCAGCACAGCCTGCACACAGTCAGTGAACCTGTCAACTAGGAGTTACAGCTGGATATTCTTTTTTTGGTTTTCTCTTTTCAGAAATAGCATGGAGGAAGTTCACACTCTTTTAGGCTGGATTACACTGTATATAACAGAATGTATCTACACTCCCAGTCCCTTTAGGCATGAAGCCTGACAGGCATTAGATGATTTTGAGACAAAGTTTTATTGTTCAATACAATGTTTACGGTGGGAGCTGACCCTTTAATTGAACTTTTTTTTCTTTGCCGAACTTTCCGCAGCACGGAGCAACGGTTTTGTACAGTTTTCGACGCCATCTTCAATCACATTTCCACTCTTGACTATTGACGAAAAAGGAAAATATCCTCCAATTGTACAAAGATTTTCAGTGCAACTGATTGGCTATCAGCACAGCAGAGTTGGTTTCCTAAGTAGCAGTGCTGGACTTTACTGAATGTAAAAAGAAGAAAAAGGACATTCATATCAACTAATTGGTTGCCTGTCATTCATTCCCTATCTGGATAAAAACCTGGACATGAGTTTTATTTTTCTTGAAACGGCAACAACTTCATGGACCAATTGTTCCGTTAGTTTTTTTTATTTTATTTAGATTTTTATTAGATTTAGTCTGCTCTTTGTTCCAGCACATTTCTCTGCATCTTCCTCCACACTCTTCCCTTTCTTTCCATCTTTTCACATGTTTATAGCAAAGGACTTTCATCGGCTTTCACAAAGTGGGATTACAGCTCTCCAGTTGGATAGTTTTCTTCAACAAGTCCATTTCATAACCCGTGTCAGCAGATGCATAGTATTTTCTTTGTCTCTGTCTGACGCTAATCTTCTGTTCCATCTCGCGAGGCATCCAGGTCACATTATGTTACAGTGGGCAGTCTTGGCTGGACGGTGAGAGGAGACGTGGTGCAAAAGAAGGCTTTATACGTATTATCTCATGTAGAGAGTGGATGTTTTACTGTCGTCCATATTGGGGCCTTAGAGTTTACTCTTTTTCAAATCTGAATGTCTTACTAATTGAAAAGGGTAATAATGCTTACAGGTTTCTTGACAAAGCAAATGTAGCACACTTGGTAGCTGAAACGAGTATTATTTTTCTTTTTTCGAAATCTAGTTTTCCTTCATCTGCTCTCCTGGTTTTTCTCCAGAAATGGTTTCTATAGATGTTTCTAATAATCCATTCAAGCTGTAGTTTCCGTGAAACTGTAAGGATCAACCTTGATATAGCGGTGGCTGCCTCCTGGCCTCCACCCGTCAGCAGAGTGTGGAGTACAGCTGGATTCCTTTGTGGCTAATGCTGTAGCAGAACTGTTAGAAAGATAGGCATGTTTACCAGTGTCGATGAGCTTTTTCTTTTTTCCTTTTTTTTGTTTAAACGGTCGCATTTTACGCAGTCAAGTTGTCGAAGACGGAAGTTAGTCTGATGTTGGGTCTCAATACTGCTGAGCAATGACCACTTCAACCATTCCCAGATTACCTCCACCTTTGCTCTGATGTCGAGTTTTGTGCTCCCTCGCCGAGCCAGAAAAAGAGATGGTGTGTGTTCTTTTATGTCAGCCACCCAACAGTCTGATGTCCATTTATACCTCAATCTACTCAGTTCTTGTCAGGCTTGGGTCGTGTAGAGTATTAAGTGTTGTTGTGACTTTTAATCATTCATACTACACACCACTGTGACGACACTTTTTGTAATTGGGATACTGGAAGTGACTGGCTACGGTTTAGGTTTTATGTGAAAGGGTATATTTTTATTTCAGGTTTTTTAGAGACAAACTGACACTCCTGAGAACAAGATGTGATGTAAATATTTTGAAGGTCAAGACTCTTTTTTTTTTTGTTCTTTTCATTTTCTGGCATCAGCTCAAACTTTCACTGTAATTTCTTTTACAGCCAAATATTTTCAAAAGGTTCATTTTAAAGTTCACGTTGTGAATCATGACTGGCTGCTGTGCCTTAAGCCTACGACCGAGGGATAATGTCCCTGTGTATTTTTTTTCCTTTAATATATATATTAAAAACTCAATAGTCTGTGCAATATACGCCTTAAACTTTAAATGTGTTTTGTATGAACATTTCAAAGAAATAAAGTTCTGTTTTTCATAATTTCTGCCACCCTTTTGCTTTTTAGTTAATGAACGAATAGAATAAAGTATTTTGCTGATGGGGTTGTTTATAGAGAACTAGTGGAACTTTTGCTCTTGTATCGCTGGATTCAGTTGGACAAACATTGGTCTCATTTCAAAAGCAAAACCTTTACCTCACATCAGCCCAAAGGTAGAGAATTTAACTGCATTCCAAACCACCATCAGAGGGATACAGAAACCTGTAGAATTTATTCTAAAACCAAATGAGGCTGCTCAAGCAGAAGAAAAGCAGCATGTGGGGGTTTCACACGTTTTTTGTTTGTTTTTTTAAATTAAGCTCGTAATCTGTCACCTGTCTGTATCAGACACAATAGCTTGGCTATCTTACTCCAGTGTGTATGTTTTGCCTAATGATCTGCAAGGCTGACTGGGATTTAGGTAAAGTTATTTGTTTGGCTGAAGATATCCATAAGCAGCTTTATAATAAACAGCTGGCATTACTATCATTTGAATTTCAAAGAACATTTTTATCTATGAAACAAGCATTATTAGAGAAATGCAAACAAACTTGTGTTCATTTTGTGAAGTAACGCTCAGTTTATTTTTGAACAATTTTCCAAGTAGATGCACTTCAACTACGCAAATACAAAAATAAGCCGCGAGATGCACTGAAAACGTGATGGAAATTGGACATATTTCAGTCATCTAAACACTCCAGATGCATAACTTCACTGTTTTCATTTGCTTTAGCATTCCCAAGGCTGAAATCCTTCAACGACAAAGACATACCTAATCCCTCAACAAATACACACTGCCAGCAGATAGAACCAGGTATCAGTAAAGACGACCGGTCCCATTAGCCAGTACACCCAGAGGAAGGCCCTTTTGATTGTCAGAAACAAATAAACACCATATCATCCATGTCTCATTTTCCATCACAGGACAGGGAACAGGACAGAGACCAGGCCCGTGTGCAGTGCTCGTGCAGGTGTGGCAGCTAACTGGCATGATGAGGTAAACTTTTTCTCTGTACTGAGACCCAAGAGCCCATACAGACACAAACTGCTGCTTCATGCATCTCCAAAGCCCGACTACTTTCCTATAAACTGTGAGCGGCAGCAGAATTATTGCTATGAGTTGCCAATCCTTGTGTATTTTAATCCAAAGGATCTTTTTTCCCCTTTTAAATTGAGATGCAGCATATAGCAAAGTAATTATTTGGTACCCAAAATGCTACCATTGACATACATTGCTTGGTAATAACTGTAAGACACTTTTTCCCTGTTATGGCATAAAATAACTGATACTGAATTCCTATTTATTTTTCTTTAATCTACAAGGTTTAAAGAGGACATGAGGACAGATTTGTGGTGGCGTGAGTGAGCGGGGGGGGGGGGCAGTAGAAGTCTTCTCCATCTACTCATCGTCCTTGTCTTTGGCGCCGTGTTTGAGGATGCGGGTGAACTCTGCGTAGTTGAAGTTTCCCTTCTTGTCGATGGGCGCCTCTCGGAACAGCTCGTCCACCTCCTCGTCCGTAAAGCGATCGCCCATGGTGGTCAGCAGCTCTCTCAGGTGGTCTTCATGGATCACGCCTTGGATGGGGAGAACAGCCATTGAGAGGCAAAGTTCCTGTTCGGGTAGGAAATGTTTACGCGTTGCGTTTTAGTTTACACCCACTCACCAGAGCCCTCCTCATCAAAGCAGGCAAAGGCATTGCGGATGACATCCTCGGGGTCTGTCCCGTTGAGCCTTTCTCCAAACATGGTGAGGAACATTGTGAAGTTAATGGGCCCTGGAGCTTCGCTCATCATTCCCTCAAGGTATTCATCAGAGGGGTTCTTTCCTGTAGAACATCAGCGCTGCTATTTAACACCGTTTATTTCTATTGAATTGTTCACTCCTGCTATACAATTTCCCTATGGGGTAAACAATGTACAGTTGAAATTTGCTTTCGTGTGCTTAATTGATTATTTTCACATTTTCATTTGGTGCTTAAAGTAATGTTCAACGTGTTAATCACTTTGCTTTTTGACAAAATGGCTCAATAAGCTACAAAATCTTCAAATCATTATAACCACACTAAATCAAATGTACCATTTTATTCTCATTGAAAGTAGTCACACCAAGCAGGGTAAAAAAAAAAAATTCTAATTATTTTGCTATTCATTTGGGCCTGTTAAATGTTTATTTTCTTGCATTTGGTCTGTAGCCGTTCACTGATAGCACTGCCAACCCTGATTACATAATTTGGTCATAACGGTTATTATACAACATCCTCGGCTGATGTAATGCTGCTTTCATCTCAAGTACAGTGAAAAATTAACCCAGTTGAAGGATGAACTGGGGTTCCAAAACACAGGTCTGCCCTTGTAGCCAAGAAAAACAAAGCCATTTACCCAAAGAGGCCAGCATGTCGTGCAGATCCTCCTTATCGATGAAACCATCTCTGTTCTGGTCAATCATGTTGAACGCCTCTTTGAATTCCTGGATCTGAGACTGGTCGAACATAGCGAAGACATTGGAGGTGGCCCTCTGGGGGCGCTTCTTGGTGGTCTTTCCCTTGGCGCGTTTGCTGGACATGGTGGCGGCAGGACGTAGATCTGTGCACGGAGAAGGTTGACGAGTTAGAAAAAGCTTCCAGAGCAACAGACTGACCAGGGAGCAGTTTAACATCTCTGTAGAAATTATTATTATCTCGCAGCACTGTACCACTGTAGCCATGTTTTTTTCTCATCTTTTGTGTGCACATGCAGGTGTGTACTTTTTCTCTCACTTCCTCTGGAGAGAAAATCTCATTCTCCAAAACTGTCAGGGACTGATGGGTGTGAAACTGACTTGTCTCTGCCGTGCACAATGCAGCTAACTTCAGATCTGTCCAGAATTAGACCTGCCACTCATGCTCTAGTCTACCAGGATTTGTCATTCTGCCTGTGTATGCGCCCGTGTGAGCGGGATCTGTGATTGCGTTGGACCCTGAGGTACAGAGAAAGAGATGAATAAGGCTGATTAGTAACACCAAAAATGACAATGTCCCGATTTAAGCAGAGGTGATGTGAATACTGCATTTTTCATTTCCTTGTAAGGCATTCAGAGGATATCTGAATGATGCATTTTGTAACCTCTAGTTTTTTTCTATTTCAAAGTATAAACAAACAAAATTAACTTTAATGAATGGATATAGACTTGTACATAGTTGCATTTAATGAAGCTTAAATGTCTAATTAAGAAAAAGTATTTTTAAATTTCACAAGTGACATCCCAATTTCAGTCTGTATGAGCACAATAAATTGCAGACTTTCTCGTTCATATACAGTGAACTCATTTTATTTTATATTATGTGCTTTTATGCAGCACTGTAAAAAGTTATTTGTACAGGTGTACATATTCCTTTATTGTGATATTTATGTAACCCTGCACCCCACTGACATATTAATAGATATTTTCCAATGAACAGAGTCCTCTGTCCTTCGTAAATAACTGACTTGATTTATTCTAATATGTATTTTATCTTCTGTGTCAATGTTAGTGTTTTTAAAATAATTGTGTTTTTCAGAAAAAACATGCATCTCAGACAACCCGCTTCTTAAATGTAAGAATTTTACCGGGAAGTGTTCTTGCACTTTTAAAAATAGCTCTTTGCTGTCCTCTTCTCTCCAAATCTCTATCTCAATGTGTGACACTGCCTGTCATTTATTGGGGAAGAGCAATGCTAGATTTTTTTTTTTCTGTCTCCTGTCACAAATGCATGTATGATCAATGAGAGCCTCAGTTAAAGGCAAGAGAAGGCAAGCTCTCCTATCTATCCTTCCTCCTCTTGGAAATAAAAATTCCCCCTATCAGCGGTATATATACAAATGAAAGCAACTCATCACCATGGCAGAATTCTAAATTTTATTACCAATGCAAATACAACACTAATGTGTTCCCCACACAAGTGGAACAAGAAAAGACTTGTTTAGCATGCTAGCACACAGTTTCTCTTGTCACAGACAGATGTAGGATTAGTCTTTCCTTTGATTTGTTAACCGTTTGGCCCCTTCAGTTCCTTCATGTGCCAAAAGAAATGAAGAAATGTGGACGGTGTGCACTGGGGGCACAAAGCCCTTCCATTCTCCACCTCACAATCGCTGAGGAAGCTGGAAACAAAAGAGCGTCTAGCTCCACGTCAAAGCTGATGGAGAGGAATTCCTCATCTCTGATTCCCCTTCCTCTTAAGTCTCCCCGCAGTGCTCCACACTTTTGTATGCAGATTGTTCTTGGAGCTCCAATAAAGCTGTTCCAAAGCAAACAGTTCAATTTGAAACACTGGAATTTAATCATCTGTGCTGCACTTTGTTTGGCTGAGGCAATAGGGTAAAAGACTTCTTGATTAAAGAAGTTATTAGGCTATTAGGTCACGTAGCAACAGCTGAAACCGCCTGCACAGACTGAACCAACAGTTATTCAAACTATTTTTGACCCCCAGCATCGTAGGCATCGGGGCTGACGTGTCTTGGCTCGGCCTGCCCGGACAATAGTATCTGTTCTCCGGCCACCACGGTTCCTCTGTGGGCCCTTTTATCCATTCGGCGATGACAAAGCTCCTCTGTGGTCCCGCTGATATCCCCAAACAGAGAGGCTGTCATCCCTCTCACCCTTCACTCGGGCCGCACAGGTCACTCACTTCTAAAGTGAAGACTGCAAGGCCCACGGTCAGGAATTCCCAAAACAAACAGAGCAGACAGGAATGTAATCTCTCACTGCCCATAAAAAGGCAGAGGTGTGTTAAACAGTGTGAGCCAGACTAATCTAAATGGGTCAGCTGCATTTGGAAATTCCTCTGATTAATGAGCCATTTGGATGAGATGGAAGTAACCATGCGTGCATACGGTTCAAAACACACCTACAGTCCACAAAACTAGCCTGAGATGACCATCCCAATCAACAGCAGGGGAAAACTCCACGGAGATCCACTTCAGAAGCTCCGTGTAACTCTATCCCCCCTCCAGCTCTGACAGTGCAGCACTAAATCCAGAGAATAAACCACCCATCCACTCCCAATACGTCAAATACGAGCCTCTTGATGCCGTGTGCGTTCTTACTCTCTGCAGCTCAGGTTAAAAAAAAAATCAGATTTCATCCTCACCTTGGCTTCAGGGGAAATAAGTGGGAGTCCTTCTCACTCCTTTTGTGCGGGTCCGTCACAGCAGTTGGAAAGGGAAGCGGGCAGACCTTCTAAAAAGTTTGCTTGAAGAATCTAGACTCCCCCGTGGGCCCCACCCCTCCCCGGCCCGGCCAATGACAGGAGCAGCCCGGCCCGAACAAAGACACCCAAGGCCGGGACATTTCTCCATACAAGGCAAAGGAATGCGCAGGGCTGCGGGCTGCTGCTCGGGATGTTTGGGGGGGGAAGGCAGGAAAATGACAGGAACCACGATAAGGTCTGCCTTATTTAGAGAAAGGAGCCCAAACATTCAGAGGGTCTGGATGGCGGAGTGCGGAGGAAAAGCAAAGGAGAAAAGTTGTGAGGAAAGACAGCGTTTCTGCTGAAAGCGTGTGTGCCTAAAATAGGCAGTGGAGCAGCAGCCAGAGACAGAGACAGAAACACCTGAAACTGTGTCTCCAGTTGAGCTCCAGGCTGCTCCACCGCTTGACTCTTGTAGCCAGCAATAGCGATAAAAGGAGCACACGAGAAAAGGGCTTAGTTTTAGCTATGAGTTTATGTTTTGGCTTATTTTATCCCTATGTATTAGCTGTTTAAAAGTTAAACCTTAACCTAAGTGATCCAGTTATCTTTAGTCAGATTGTTGGGAGGGGAGAGTGGGATTTATTTATCTTAAAGTGAATTATTAAATCATGTTAAGAAATAGTATGTTGAGCTTTGCAATGCACAGATAAATATTTTTTTTTAAACATCGATTTGTTTTATTGATTCCTTTTTATGTTTGAAAATTGCATTATTTTGATAATAATTGATCATCAGTTGTCATGTGTTTTGTGCCTACTTTATCATTTTTGTGTCTTCATAACAATTTGCCTATTCATATTAATAGTCATACAATTTCTAATTACTCTTTCAAAGAGGGAAACTATAACAGTCATTCTTTCAGGACTTGACGCAATTGATGTTTTAAGCAAAGACACCAGTCCTCTGTTCGATGAAGTTCTGCAAAAGTGCATGGATGCCCTCTAGTGTGCCAAACTGATCATGAAAAGATTTCGAGTCCTGCACATGGTGACACCAATAACGTGGCGAGGCTACGAAATGTTAATAGATTTGACCCATTTTAAATGTAACTGTTTGGATCTGTACAAAATAAAGTGAATTTTCCCCCCGTGTGTTTCTCTGTCTGGATTTGAAACTTGGTCAAATTAATTTTTGAAAGTGATTTGTTTCAAAACGAAATATGAAACACTAGTCTCTGATAGTTTCAAACATAAAAAAAACTATTGATTAAACGTTCCAAGTTTAATATTAACCATGTAGCCTGCTAAATACGTGCTTATTTTGTAAGGCTAACTCCCAGAGAATGGTCCATTATAGGCATCATTGACTTCTTTGTTTACCGTCTAACGTTGAGGCGGGACTAATTTTTGGAACATTCTGATTGGCTCTTAGAGTGATTGGCTGGTGCTTGCGCGAGCGCATTGTGCCAAGAAGATGGATGTCACGTTAGTCTGAAAAGCTGAGATAAAGGTAAGTTGTTAACCGTGCTCCCTCACTTGTTTTACACGCAGTAAGAAACGTAAAGAAAAGTTTGGCGAGACGTTCAGTATTTTAATTAGTGACAGGCAAGGGATTGTTGTGTTGTTATATGTCTTACTCAGAGCAAAGCCCGCTGTACAAATGTTGATAAAGTGACATAAGTGATTCGTCGCAAGGTTAATAATTTGTTCAACTAAGAATTTTGTCAGTGGCATTTGGAATGTTCTATACAGCGCTTCGTTACAGAGAACATGACCGTTTCTGTATTTGACAAGCGTTTGTATCAACGGTAGTGCTGACGTGCTTCGTGGCTCGCGCCTGTACATATGTCAATGCGGAAGTGACCTGAGTTTAGGAGGTATCTTTGACTAACTGATGCGACTCACAATAATTAAACCCAGTTTTGAGCAAGAAATGTTGAAGTCAAGCAAATAAAAATCCCCAGATAAATATGTGGACGAGGAAGTCTCTGTTTTGTCAGTACCGAGAGTTTGAGTTCGTGTTGCGTATGCAATCCTGAAACCTGACGGAGTTGAAAACAACTCGTCTTTTTTGCATACCGTTCGTAGCACATCCGAAGAGTGAGGGATATTTACCTTTTTGTCACAAGTCAGGGAGGCAGGTTTCACATGACGCAATGTTTGTGCATTTACAGTATGTACATGTGAAAATTCCGTGTCTTGTATTTCATGCAACCTTACATTGTCTAGCTTTTGGTATTTTGGAGCAAAACAAGACGTTAAAGAGCTCATTGTACAGTTTCAAAACATAATATTTTGGTATTTAAAGGTAGGAGGTTAACTTGAGAAGACACCTTGGGGAAAAATAGCAGTTCTTAAACGGGCTGTAGTTGTAGAATCTATGTTTCCTTGACTCCTGGCTTTGGAGGGATGGGAGTAAGAAAACTGCACCTGAAGTTTACGCTTATTGAATTTGAATGAATGAAATGTTTCCCAAACTTCAGCCTTTTATATATGAAATATTTAGTCTTTGTAAGTGATTTTTACCCTCTTATCGTTCTCTCTCTCTGTGATTCATTTCAGCTTCTGTCTCTGTAGGCGTTCTCCTGTCTGCTGTCTTTGCACAGCTGACTCAGTACTTTTATTGGAGTGTAACTCCAAATCATTTCAAAATAAGAAAAAAAGACAAATGTGCAAAGACAGCAATACAGCAAAGGAGAAAGTTCTCGTCTCTTTTTACATTTGCATTGACAAATGAGCAACATGATGGGCCAGATTTAAGATTTTGTTGACTTTAGAAAAAAGCAAAGCACTTCTTTTAGGTATTCTTTTCCACAGAGGCCTACTGCTCTGTGATGACTTCCTTTATATTTAGCCCAAGTCATGGTTTAAATCCAAGCATGCAACACATTTGTTTGATTTCTTCCCGGTATCAATGGGATTCAGGTGGATTTTTAAGCGCTGGTAGAGCATTTCTGCTGGAGAGTCCTCTCTTTTTTTTATGGCCGAGAGAGTGGTGGTCATGACCAGAAACGGTGTGGCCTGTGTGTGTGCGTTTTCATGCCAGGTCTGTTTGAATAGACTGTCCAAGCCTTTCAGAAAGTGCTGGTCTGGCTGTCATGTGAAGTGCCAGAGAGGAAGTATGAATTCAGTGTGGTGTGTGGCGCGCTTGTGAAATTGTATAAGACAGAGGAAGCATTAGTATGTGGGTGAATATACTAGGATTCTCTCATGGATTTTTCTATTTTGCTTGCTTATACTGAGAGGACTGGAACTCTGTCATCTCTTATGACCACTGATCGAGCAGAAAGTATGATTTAGTGGAACAGCAACAGGCTGTATGGACCCTAGTAGCTTTGTTCCAGGGGTTTCAAAGCTATCAGGGGCATCAGTTTGTGAGATAGGAGAGCATTATGGTGACAGAATTGCCGGTTCCTCAGAAGGAAATGCACGTAAAGTTTCTAAGGACAGTTTGGCAGTTCATGGAGTTGAAAATTGCTCTTAAGAGGTGTTGATGGAGCAGGGGAGGTCAGGGCAACACAGCCTGGTTGGAAGGGGACATCTGCATCCTTCTCTGTGGGTAAGACATGAAACTACAATTTCAAGGACTGTCTCATTCTGATCAATCTGTACAAATATCAGTAGATTTGAACAGTATTTCTTTTTACTTGGCTTTTGTAAGCCAAAAACAATGCAATCTATTTGTCATCGGGTCAGAATCACAGGTTTCACTTTAATGGCTACTTAGAAAATAGCATCACAAAGTAACACCTTGCAGGGATTATTCTCATTACTAATTTTTGTATTCTAGCCCTTTTCCTTCTTTAAAAACCATCAAAAGTTAATTCTGTAGTCCAGTTAATTTCATCTGTCAAAAATGATAGCAAAACTGATGCTTTTTTAGTAGTTGCAGAGTTGGATTTCCTCAATGTAAGTAGCGCCTCATTGTTGGAGATTGTCCATGTCATCAGAAGTAATGTAAATATTGCAAGCTTTTAAGATTATTCTTTTACTTTCTTGTATTGTTTTTTAAAACCAAACTGACGTCTCACAGCTTTGCAGCTTCTGAGGCATTTTCAAATTATAACCACCACAGGGCAAGAAGATGACATCAGAAGTGTCTTTTGTCAACACCTAGGATTGTTCAGTAGATCCCATCATAACTACTGCCTGTTGACCTTTGGCTCATTAGTCACAATGGTGTTATTCCAAAGGTTAACATTGTTTAGTGGTTAAACTCCAAACACTAGAAATACTTGCTTGCCAATCATTTATGGGACATCATGCTGCTTTGGTGCTAACTTGAATTAAATATTTGGAATCTTGTCAACCTAAAATTCTCAAAATATTTACATCTTTTCATCAGCAGGCAAAGTACTAATTTAGATTAGATTATGTGGCTTTTTAAAAGGAAGGATCATAAGGCTGTTTGACTTTGTCTGCGACAAAAGAAGAACTTAAGATTCAAACAACAAACTACAGAAAATAGCAAATGCAAAGCTGGCACTTTTTCTTTTTTTTTGCCATGTCATGTCATTAGCTATCACTTCATGTTTTTGTTTACAGTCCCAAACCATGAATATTGTGGGCCAGCTGGCAGAAACGGTCTTCGTAACAGTGAAGGAGCTGTACCATGGTCTGAACCCTGCCACTCTCACTGGAGGGATTGATGTCATCGTGGTGCGACAGCCTGATGGATCCTTCCACTGCTCCCCCTTTCATGTTCGCTTTGGGAAGCTGGGTGTGCTGCGCTCCAAAGAGAAAATTGTCAGTCTTTATTTAGTTTTTTTTACTATAAGTATTTGTCTAGTCTATGTCCTTTTGGTAGAAATGATTACAAATTAATTAATTACTGTAATCTTAGGTGGACATTGAAATAAATGGAGAACCTGTGGATCTGCACATGAAGCTTGGGGACAATGGAGAAGCTTTTTTTGTGGAGGAAAATGAAAGTAGTGGGGTAAGCTGAACATCAGTTGTGGCAATTCAATGAAAATTGGGCAAACATTTTCAGTTGTTTGGTACTTTTATGTTTACTTAAATTATTTTGCGTCAGGTCCCAGCCCATCTGTGCACCTCCCCAATTCCTATGGAGGACCCTGAGGAGATTGAGGAGGCCACTGAAGGGACCCCCGTCACCGGGAGCCGCAGAAAGAAACGCCGACGGAAACGCATGCGCTCTGATGCCCACCTGAGAGAAGAGGCCAGCTCCTCATCAGAAGAAAGAGACAGAGAGAAGGAGAGTGAGAGGGAGGCTGACCAGCCTCAGCAGGAAAGTCCCATGGAGCTGTCCACACTGTTGCAAGTTAGGTCAGTCAGATGAGGTTAATCAATATTAGTAAGCGATAAGTCACATGATGCAGTTTTTTTAACACTTGTGTCTCACCACACCACAGTCTGGTAGGCCACATTTTTGTGAAAAAACAAGTCAAAAGTTTGATGTACTTTATCCAAGGTTTTAACTATCTAAAAGTCCTATGAAAACTGTGAAGGTACATAGTAGTGCACTTAAGGGCCTCTTTATGTTAGCAAGACACAGCTATGATGAAATAGTAAAATAGTTGTTATTGCTTCATTTTTTCTTATTCAGTATCCACTATAAAGTAGTCTAGATTCAAAAGTACATCTTGGATGAGTTCTGTTTTTATTATGTTGTGTGAATTGGTTAACGGCTGCTAAAATTGCACTGGTTGTCTCCTAACATTCATTTGCTGTAAAAAACCCAGTGTTCCGGATGAAATATATAAGCAGTAATAAACTAACCGTGGGAGATCCTTATTGTTTGGGGTCTGGCTGTTTCAGACTGATATAGATCACTTTTTTTCATATTCTGTTTTTTTGTGTGTTTTAAAGTAAGTCTGTGTACTACTCGCTGTCTGAAGAGCCAAATGAAGAGCTACGGATCACGCAGCCCAGAGACACCCATCCACACTCTGAAGGAGAACAGTCACCCTCAGAAAGGTATCAGTTTACCTTTAAAACAAAAAAGAAGTTACTTTTCAGTAATGAGAACTTGACTGTGCATGAACGGACCATCTCGTGGTTTTGTCCTCCCCAGTTCTGTTTTCTTCAGTCGTCCAACCTCTCCTAAGAGTGACTCCGAGCTTATGGTTAAAAGCCAAGAATCGTTTGAGCCTCAGATGCAGTGGAACTGGGGGGGCTTTCCAGTGGTAAGAAAAAAAACACACGCATATATGTTTTTATGTTTTTAGGGCTGATCTACAGTATTACAATGCTTTAGATGTGGCCTTGCCCTGCCTAAACCCTATTCTTCTGCTCACAGCTTTGTCCACCAGAGAAAACACCGGTAGAGTTGGAGCACATCTGTCATTCATCCTCTTCACATTTCTGCGTCATTAAGAGGCAGGACTCATTTGACATGGGCAATGAGCCCATAATTAGATGTGGGAGAACTGACACTGTAACGGTCATCAAACCACAGCCAAGGACACATTCCCTTGGTTTAGATATCCCTTCCATGCAAAACTGCCCTTTATCCCAAGAGAAAGACTCTCACATTACCCCTTCTACCCTCAGCCACCACTTAATGTCTTCTGCTTCATCTATGGATGTAGATTCAACAAAGATTGTTGAATATACACTGGGTAAGGAGGAGAAGAAAGACGTAAGTTCTAATGCAACCAGCCAAAAAAACGATTCCTGTACTGCAGAAGAAAGCATGGTCATTGATCATGTTAGCACAGTGTCTGGTACAGTTAGCCCAGGAAATGAGCATGGGGTGGACACTGTGACCAAAACAAGCATTGCACAACTCACAAGAGAAATTGGTGAGTTAACAGTCTTAGAACCAAGTCAGGGAGGTACAGAGGCAACAGAACTGCAGCAGCAGGTGGTCAGCGATCAGGGTCCTAGCAATAGCGCCCCGGTCAGTGAAGGGGACAGTGGAATAGAACCCTGTAGCGAGGCACCGGAGGAGGACAGTGTCCCTGAAGTGGCTGATGGGCAAGGAGGAAACTCAAAAGCAGCAATAACAGACACAGGGGTGGATGTGACTGCCGCAGAGGGGCTTACAAAGTCTTCTGATGCTTCTGTCAAAGTTGAGCTACAGGACAAGAAGAAAGGTGACTTTTACTTAAGATATTACCTTCATATTTAATTTAGTAGACACACCGTGGGTGTTTTTTGCCGCGGTAAGGTATACCACTGTTGATGCATGACCTCATTACAGGTAAAAGAAATCAACACCTGGGCCCGTCTGATATTTATTTGGATGACCTGACCAAACTGGACCCTGAGGCGGCTGCTCTTTATTTCCCCAAAAGGTGAGATTACTGTAATAAGTAATGATCGGTGAAATCTGTTTCTAACTAGAGAATTCAGAGAATTAATGTGTCCAACCAGTGTGATAAACATTCAACCTTCAAGTCATCATGTTATGAGGTAAAGGTGAGTTGAAACGGTTAAACTGTCTGCAGTGAGGCAGAGGGAGCTTTACAGCCAGGAGCAGAGCAGGACCTTTGCTCGGGTAGCCAGTCCCCTCAGTCTGTCGGCAGCGGGACAATGGACAGTGGCACAGAGTACCTGTCAGACTCTGCCTGCTACAGCATGGACATCAGCATGTCCCTCTGTGGACAAGAGGGAGACACCAGCCAGATCACCAAAGGTAAGAGGGGCTGAATGAGTAAAAACGGTGTCAGCGTCAATATGGGGAAGCATTCTAGTGGAATTCAATCTCTTTTTGTCTTTTTGTCTTCACTCCAGAAAAGTTCATGGAGCACCTTGTGACCTACCAGGAGTTTGCTAACAATCCAGGAATCATAGAAGATCCAAGTCTCGTTATCTGCATTAATTCTAAGTAAGATTTAGAAATAATCACTCAATAACACATGCACAATATCATTATTACGTCTCCTAATGTCTTACATGATACAGACAAAACAAGGTGAATTTTTATTTTCAATTTTCCATTCTTAAACATTTCTAAAGGTATCATTTAGTGACTTTAACTCAAGTAACTTTTTGCAGCTACTACAACTGGGCTGTGGCTGCTCCAATGGTTCTGTCAATGACAGCTTTCCAGAAAAACTTACCAAAGGTATATATTTTTCCTTTTCTAAGCCTGGAAAAAATTATGCTCTCTAAAATCTATCCAACATTTGCATCCGAGCTGTGCCTCTGATCCTCAGGAAGCAACTTCACAGACATGATCTTTGTTAAACAGGTGCATTTCTTTTTCTGTGTCACCATAGAGTACTATAGAGCAACTGGTGAAGGACAAGATGTCCAAAAAGTCTGGGCGCTGGTGGTTCTCCTGGAGACGAAGAGACATGGAAAGCCAGGTATCTAAGGGTATCTTCTTACTGGTTGTCTGGGTTGTGTAAGTTTTGAAAAGAAAGGTTACATGTGTGAACCTGCAGTGATTACTGAATGTATTCACACCCTTTCTAACAAGTCACACCAACTCACATCCTTTCTAGTTGGATTTTTTTTTTGGAACATAGGAGATTTAAATGTGGAAGGAACTATTGTATCTGGTTCTGACAACATGATTTTCTTGTTTCTTCAGCAAAAACTCTCAAAGGATGGGCAGGAAGAGTCAGTGCTGATTGTTTCCTCTACAGTGAAGTAGGTCACCTCATTTGGAAACACAAATGATCAAAATCTCTCCTGTTTCAACTAATCCTGCTACTGTAGAGCTTTTTTGGCTACTATATCATATTGTTCGGGCTGGGAATTTATACTTTGTTTTTGTAGTTGATACACGTTTCTGACAGAATGGATTTCAACCACATGCAGGAAAAAAAGAGAGCTGTACATTTAGAAATTAGCTGCATTCAGCACAGATGCATGTGCTGATAAGTTGTCACAACCATTTAACTGACCCTCAGTCCGTGAATACCAACACAGGATCAGAAGAGTGACTGACTGAGGTGTGCCCTATGCTGACTGATTTTTAATCACCTAGCCTGTGCAGTCGTCTTACGGAAGGACCATAAGTGAGCTAAAGCTAGTGAACTAGGACCTCCGGGTATATTAAACCTACTGTATATGTTGGTCTCGTTTTGGGGAGTTTAATTTCTGGCAGTTATTAAGATATCATTAACAAAAGCTTAATATTTTAGATCTTATCCTTTTCCATTAGTTAAAAATGATGATTTTTTTTTTTTTATTGACCCCCCCCCCCATTTAGATATGTAAGTAGGTACTTAATATCTGCAGTGGTTGTTCAGCTCAGTGCTTAGATAAGTCAGTTTGCAAAAATATTTTTCATGACCCATTCCGTCACAGGATAATTTGTTTTCTGACAAACATATTTATTTATTTATCTATTAGTGTTCAGAAATATGCAACATGACGGAGAAATAAGTGCCTTACACTACCTGTTGTTTCCTCAGAGCAACACTGGATGACATTGACAGTGATGAGGCTGCCGGGCTTGGCCGAAAAGCCAGCCTCCCTTCCAGCCTATCTACAGAAACTCTGAACGCCACTCAGTCTATCAGCCAGATGTACCGCAAATCACTGCGTCTGACGTCTCAACAGATAGTAAGCGGGATCCTCAGATACACCCGCATCATCTAAAGAGAATGAGCTGTCATTTTCTGCAAGGGTACATTTAAATGATTCTTTCCCAATACCAGGAGCATCTAAATCTGCGTGAAGGGGCCAATAAAGTAGTGTTCAGCGTGACCACTCAGTACCAGGGAACCTGCCGCTGTGAGGCTGCCATCTACCTGTGGAACTGGGACGATCGGGTGATCATATCAGACATTGATGGCACCATCACAAAGTAAGAAGTGTTTACTTCCAAAGCCTTCAGTCTTGATATACAAACACGCCATTTTACTTGACAGCCATCAAAAAACATTTGCTCTTGCTGTAGTTGTTTTTGATAGGTGAGTGTTCTATTCTTGCATCCTGCAGGTCAGACGCTCTGGGTCATATTCTACCTCAGTTTGGAAAAGACTGGACACACCAAGGGATTGCCAAACTATACCACAAAATACATCAGTAAGTGGCTTTACATTTTTATCACATTATCTCCAATTAACATCACATGATCAACTGAAGGTAACACATAAGGTTTAGTTGTCTTGTGTCTTCTTTTTCTTCTTTCCAAACACCCTTAAAAATATATAAATGTGACCAGAGCTTAACTCTTGTCATGACATTTCCTGTGTCATTTTAGTTAATCTGCAGTGCTAGATATTTCTGTTTCTTGTGTCTTACTTAAAACCAGTTCTGCCTAAATTCTTTCTGAACTTGATCAGTGAAGACAGTTTGTCGTCCGATAAAACTCTTATATGGATGCCTCTTTTTTACAGAAATGGATACAAGTTCCTGTACTGCTCGGCCAGGGCTATTGGTATGGCCGCCATCACTAAAGACTACTTGCAGTGGGTCAATGACAAAGGCACGGTGCTCCCTAAAGGTCCTGTGTTGCTGGCTCCCAGCAGCCTCTTTTCTGCACTACACAGGTAACAAAAAAACACAACTTTTGCAGAATCCCACAGAAATTATTCCAATGTTTTAACACAGAAGTGGAGCGGTTTAACAAGGAGTGCCTGAAGCTTTGCATTAAATGTTATCTCAGCCCCTCTGTGTGTGTACGTGTGAGAAAGAGAGAATCATTCTCTGTCTTGGCTGTAAATGTGTGCAGAGAGGTGATTGAGAAGAAACCAGAGGTGTTTAAGATTGCCTGTCTCAGTGACATCAGGGACTTGTTCAGTCCACTGCGACAGCCTTTCTACGCTGCCTTCGGCAACAGAACCAACGTAAGTCATGTTCTGGACCTGCCAGTAGACGGTAACGTCAGTATGTTAGCTTTACAAGCTGCTCTTGGGTAGATGGTTTTACTGGTGCTCCCCTGTGCTTATGCTTTGTTTTCGCAGGACGCTTTTGCCTACAAGCAGGTTGGAGTGCCTGAAACCAGAATATTCACAGTCAACCCTAAAGGAGAGCTAATCCAGGAGATGAGCAAAGGCAACAAGTCCTCGTGAGTCTAACAGAAGGGCGCAGTGCTGGAAAGGATGAAAAGAAAAAAAAAAGATTTTGAATGACTTCTAAAGACAGTTAATAGGTTTTATGAAGCTCTTTATTTTAGTTTAACATTTAACTGTGTGTGTTTGTGTAGGTACAGCCACCTCAGTGAGTTGGTGGAGCATTTCTTCCCCATGCGTGCGTCTGAGGGCATGACTGCCTCTGTTCTACACTGTCCTGATTACAGCAGTTTCTCCTACTGGAAGGAGCCTCTACCAAAACTGGACCTGGATGCTCTGCTCTAAACACACTCGTATATATGTACCAAACCCATACATGCACACTAATTAACACACAAACCGGATTTCTCCACAGATGTTTTGCCTCTGGACTGTAGCAAGTGTTTGCTGTTGGTGGCATGTTCCATTTTATTTTATTTTTAGAAAAATAATGTTTAAAACATGGGAATTTCAGTTCTAGACACAAGCCAGACATATTTTTCTTGAATAAATTAAGTTATGTTATGCAGAAACCCTTCAAATGTCAAACATCTCGAGTGCCTTGCTGAAACACCATGACAGATATGTGAGCAACTAAAGCCCAGACATGCACCTGAAGCTACAGAACAAACTTGTTTCCTTTACTCAGTGGAGATTCTAAAGAATGTGTGCCTGTGGGAGAACATTTTATGTGTTTCAACAGAATTTTATTGCTACTTTTTCCAAGTAATCTAGTGTGACTGGAGGGGGTATTTGCAGAGCTTTTGTAGTCTGTGGGCTCTTGATGAATGTGAGATTGCAGTTTGCTCCGATCACTTCTGATCTTTAATATTGCAACATGCTCCTCGTGACAAGTTCTTATCACTTCTGCTCTTGGTTAAAGATGAAATGCAATGACAGACGCAGAATCCGATCAAATAATTGTCAGTTTGAAGCTACAGTAAGCAGAGAGTTCAGACATATCTGTACACTACATGGATGAGCAGGTGGGGTCTGTTCCAGGCTGATAAGTGGACCTTTAAGGTGGTTTGGCTGGCTACGTGTCTTCCTACCTGAACTACACAGTTCTATTTATTGTATTTGCTTGTATGTTATTGTCCAGCTGTGAGGATTTGCCCCAGAGCTGAAAAGTTTGCTGATATTTTTTATTCCAAATGTGCAAAAATATCAATGAATTTCAAACAATGTCTTTGTTGTTTGTCATCCAAATGTAATGTCACTGAGCTCATGCTCAGCCTTTAAAACGAGTTCCATTTTATTACCAATAAATGACTGATTTATTTATTCACTTTTATTTCTGTGCAAACATACTGAGCTGTTTGGAACTTCAGTGTTATTACTCTCCTCTTTCCACCTTAATTTTTGTTCCTTCTTTCCAAACTATGTTTAGAGCACAGAACGCAGGGTGAAATATTATTTATAGTGTTGTGTATTTACCTACAAAGGGAATTGGCAGTTATAGGAGCAGGTGCTGGTTTCAAAACGGCAACAAAAAAACGGCAGGTGAGGAGTCAACTCCACATTGAATGCTACTTAAGGCCGTTAAGGGGAAAGAGGAAGGGAAAAACCGTCACAAAAGTGGACTGTAGGGTAGAAATGAGGAGACATGATGTTGTTTCTTTGTTCTGAAGCATTACACGTTACATGACAAATTTTAAATTAATATCTTACTTTTTGTTTTTAAAAGAAATGCTGTCATACTAAATTACCTGAAGTGGAAAATGCATCCCAAACCCATAAAGGTTTCAGCACCAGACTGAGAAAATGTCCCTCTGTGTGTGAAACAATTAGTCCGGGTTACGTATTGGAGCAACAGTTGTACAGTTGGAGTACAAGGGTGCAATAAGCAGTCAGGTTTGGACACGTTGCGTTGCTGCTCGTGGATCAGCTCCACGGGGATGGATGCAGGCGTCAGGTCGATGCCTCTGAGCGCCATCTCTGCGTCACTGCGCTTTATTGACTTTTGATCAGGAAGACTGAACTCAAAGTACGCAAACAGAAGGTAGGTGCAGTTGGAAGGTGTCTTTCTTTCACTTGAAAATTATACGTATTTTTTCGTCTGTTTTTTTTTTTTTTAATTAAACGCTAGTTGTTGATGTGCGTACGGGAATTACGCAAAAATTAAAGATTTTTTTTACTTGTTTTTATTAGTTTTTAAAGGTTCCAAAACACGTATTTTTTAAGACGTTTAGGGTTAGATAATAGTAATAAAAGATCTACACGCAGAAACAGAAGCAGTCTTCAGTGTTAGAGCCTTCATTATAAGGAAGTAGACGATCATTTGGCAACACGGATCCTGTTCACCTAAACCGAAACTTAAAGTTTTAGCTGAGATCTCGCTGCCTCGTGGCAAACGAGTGGCTTAAATCGAGCTGGCATTGAAAACCAGCTCTTTTCCGTGTTTTACAAATTTATCATTTGTATTATGATACAAAACTTCCTTCAGCGTGTGCATTCTGGTGTGCGGACTAATAGTTGCACTGCACATTTAGTTTTGCTTAGTCATGCTCTTACTTCTTATCTTTTCTTATCTCCTCATGTTTTTCTCTCATGCAACTTCCTTTCACATCAACATTATTTGTTGGAGATTGTGATAGTTAAAATGAAATAATTAGTTGTTTGCATAGATCCAAACAGAATTTCTGTAAATCACTAAAGAGAATACAATGCTATTGTCCTACATTTAAAGAGAAGTTATGCCAAACAAATGTAATTAAAGTGCTTATCATATGCATTCTGTCATAATGTTGTTGTTTTTTTTGTCTGTTTGTTATTTCCCTGAATGTGTCCAGAACCTGCCATCATGTCTGTGTGTGATGAAGCCAATGCGACTGTAGGGAATCATCCAGAAGCTTTGGCTTTGGAGCTAACATGCCCCATATGCTTGCAGCTATTCTCTGAGCCCTTTTCCCTTCCCTGTGGTCACATCTACTGCCATGCCTGCCTTCAGGTCTTGGGAGAAGGCCTTGACAAGTACAGCTGCCCAGAGTGTCAGGCTGAGTACCAGGGAACCACAGCCCTTGTGAAAAGCTTTAAAATGTGCAATATTGTGGAGACCTACAAAGCCACCGCTGGGAAAAAGAGCTTGACGGATGCCTCTGATGACATCCCAGTTACTTCCAAGAGTAGCCACAGCTCTGTCACACATGAAACGGACGCAAAAAACCACCACAGCAGTGCAACAGCTGGTGAGAACCAAGAGGATGGTGCAGAATGCAAAGATGGCTGTAAATCTGTCTCCACAGAGCAAGGCTCTAGTGTTGAAGCTCTAAAAGGCAGTAACAATGGCAAAATGGAGATGGATGAGCCCAAATTCAAACTTGCATCACAAGTCACAGAGTTGAACCTAAAGTTAGAGATGGCAGAGAGTGTGCTGAGAGAAGAAAAGGAATTGGAGTCTGAGGTGACCGCCTCCAACTCTCAACTGAGAGAAAAAGCCTCCAAACTTTTGGAGCAGGTAAAGGATTTGGCGCAGAGCTACTGCACTCGGGTGGCACAGATGATAGAGGAAGAGTTGGGTCCAGGTGAGGCCAGCGTACGCAGTCGAGTCAGCGAGGCCTCTGAGCTTACAAAGCAACTGAGGAAGGCTGTGCTCAAAGCTGAATCTCTGCTGAGTGAGGAGGATGAGAGCGCGTTTAGCGATGAGCTGCAGAGACTCCAACCGTGCATCGTGCAGCTGCTGGCCAAGCCCGGCAGAGGAGATGTGGACCTTGTCGAAACCAAAGTCAACCCTGCACGAGCTTGCCCCAAGCTGGAAAACATGAACTCTGAAATGAGGGAAACGCTTGGAGAGATTCAGCGCTCCCTCCGGAACACACTCAACCCATCAGAGGTGGCCTTTGACCCAGAAACCGCCCATCCTAATCTCCTTCTCTCAGAGGACTTGAAGACGGTGACTTACAGTGCTGTCAAACAGCCCTACCCATCCTCCTTTCAGAGGTTTACCAACTTCTTTCAGGTTCTCAGCACCCAGAGTTTTTCGGAGGGGGATCACAGCTGGGAGGTGGAGCTGGAGGGGTCTCCGTGGATCATCGGTGTGTGCTACAGTGGGAAGTTGGCCCGCAGCGGGCTGCCATCTGCCTTAGAAAGCAGCCGGAGCTCCTGGTGTCTAATGTGGTTCAACAACCTGCTGACGGCTTTTGAGCAGGGTCAAAGTGTTCCCCTGAAGAGGACCACAGTGTCACGCAGGCTTGAGATCAAGCTGAGTTTCAAGACCCACAGGCTGAGCTTCTACAACATCAGCCCCACCAGTCCAAAGACTCATATCTATACCTTTAAGGCAAACCTGACTGAACCAGTGCACATAGCCTACCGGATGATGTCAGGACACCCCAAAGCTCGTGTCACTATTTTTTCATAGTTGTTAAAATATGCTGCACAGGTTAAAGCTTTGTAATTTTTGTTAAAACACCAAAGCTCAGGATCGATTTGAAGCGATATTGTCTGGTACAAGGGCAGAAACAAGGGCAGAAACACAGCCCTGCTTTGAAAATATTGATTACTGATTGTTAATTACAATGCTGGAAACTCACAAAGTTTACTATTATTTGTTAAGAAATGTGTTTTACTTATGTCCAATGCCCTAAATGTAACTGAAAAAAAGGAAAAAACACATTAAAATTGGTTGGTGACCTAAATATCTCTCTTGTTCCATCTATTTAAATCCTTTGATAGTTATGAATTTAAAATATGGGTTTTTACCTTGATCAGTATTTTATTGAGCCAGGGACTATGCATCGTAGTTTTCATATAAAATGTTTGTGTTAATCGGAAGCAAATAAGGACTAAGACATACATACGGAAGGCTGAAAAAACGAGAGTTGGTTTGCCTAGACTAGAGAAAACAATACAACACGCCATTAAGCCGTTCTCGCGAGACCTCCTATTTGATGACAGTGTCAGGTGACTATAAGGGAAATTCTTGTGAAGGAAAGTGTACGGCAGCTACAGTCATGTCGCGCATTTGTGATCAAAATTTGCTTCGATTACAACGTGTATGACAACTTCTATATCTTGTGCTGGTTGAATACATTTGACTTGGAAATTCTACAGGAGTAACATACTTGAAATCGAGTCTTCTTAAGCGGTAAGATTTGAATGTTTACAATCTGATACGCTTGTTATGCTATTTAGGAGCGGCGTCAACACACTCCGGTCCCCTGCATGTTTTGCTGCTAACGTGAGCCAGTCGGCTTTTGGTCATAAGTAATAAACATTATTTTGCAAGACAGGTTTACAATCAGTATTATTGTCAATTTTGTGTTTGGTTCTTAAGGATACTGATATTGTTAAATAATTAAATGTTAAAGCTACATACCATGCAATCGAAGCTAGCAAGCTAACATGTTTAGCCGTCACCTGAAATTCCCCTTATGGCGAACTGAAAGTATAATGTTAAACAATACACAGAGGCATGCCAAAATGGGCTACCGTTTATACATTCAGGGGAACTAAAATAACTTCGACGCCCTACCCCCATTCATGGTTTAAAGGATATGTGGTAAACTTTGCTCAACTGCTGAGTGGTTGTAACTAAATGTAGACGGAGTTACCTGAGCACAGTTCGTTTAGCAGTGGGTTGTTACGTAATGTCCACTAGGCGGTGAGAGCTGTGGCAAGGCTAATACTTCTTAAAGTCTGAGATCTTTGTTCCTGTCGCATTAGAGGGTTTATTTGAATTTAGATCCAGTAGATATTTCACATGTGAACTAATATATTCAGGTTCAGAACAAACGTCTACAACCTGAAAATCACTCGCATTGAGAGAGAAGCAGGCGTGCGTGTATGTGTGCGTCAGTTGACAGAATCGCACTTTTTTTGTCTTCAGGCTCTGACACCATGCTAGCCACAGTGACCGCTGTGGCTAGGCTTGCTCAATACAATGGCACCACAACACCTTCATCTCCGGAAAACACATCAGCATTCCCAACATGGCAACCTGACAGTGAAGCCAACATCAGCAAGCCTCACAAATGTCTCCAGGTCCTGTATGAGGACATTGGAGATTCCAGGTAATAGATATCCCTGACTGGATCAATCCTAGAAAAAGACTAACATGCAGAATCACAGTCTCTGCTGTAGTAAAGATGTTACCATCCATTATCTGTTTTATAGGGTGCGGTTCTGGGACATTTTTCTGCTGGTGCCTAATGTGGCTTTCTTTGTGTTCCTGATGTGGAAGTTGCCCTCCGCCAGGGCAAAGATTCGACTAACCTCTAGCCCCATTTTTGTCACCTTCTACTTGCTGGTAGGACACATACTCAAAATAAAACATATGGTACATTTCTCTTAACTTCATAAGTCACATGGATTTCTATATATAGTTCTGTTTTTTATCCAAACCTGACGATTAATTTAGTGTTTTTCCGCTATTAGTTCCTTTTTTAATGTGCTGAAATCACATTGCAGTAGAAAAGAATCCCTGGGTGGTACATTTTACTTTCACTTTTGTTGAGCAGCATGGAGGAATTACCTTGTCAACCATTTTAATGACTTGTAAAGGTTACGCTCCCCTATAACATATTTTTTCTTAATGTTTGTGTTTAATCGACATCTATTTGTCACTTTTGTGTTAACATAATAGACATGAATACAGAAAATAGAATTTTTCAGCCAAGGCATTAAAAGAACTCTGCACTCTTTTTTTCTCTCTCACCAACAGAATCCACCGCCACAGAATTGTTATCAGTTATGGTTTGTCCCAGATGTTCTCTGGGAGATAGACTGTTTGTTATGCTGCCTAACATGTTGCGTGCTTTGTTTCTTAGGTTTTCGTTGTTGCGGCAGTTGGAATCACCCGAGCTATTGTGTCCATGACAGTCAGTGCATCCAATGCTGCCACCATTGTGGACAAAGTAAGTTCACACAGAACTTCATAACGGAACAAGGGCCATTTAATGATTACAATTTACACTTTCAGAATACAACTAATGTCTTTTGGAATCTAAATATATACGATAAATGTTTATATTATACATATGCAGAGAAGAGTCAATAATTATTAGTACTATCAATAATAATTTTGTCAAGTGATTTTCCTTTTTTGTTCAGTGTAAAGGTGATAAGCTGGACTTGTCACAAGACTCTTGTACTTATGGAAGCTGCTGTGACTGGTGTATTTTTCCCTTACTAGCACAGGATCATCCTGTTCCTATGACACTATCTTTGAAAAGAGCTTTATGTTTCAGTCAGTTTTGTTGATTTTTATTCTGATATCGTTAGTAGAAAAACTGGACCATCCCGAAGACAGATTGTGTGTATGTTTTTCTCTCTGAAGTATCCAGAGGAGACCATTTGAGCAGCAGTATGAGTTTAGTCTTTTATGTCTAAAAGGAAAGGCCTGCTTGGCATTCCACACATACCAGGCAGATCCCAGCTGAGTTTTCAGTCTGCAGAGGAAAAAACCCATCTCTGTGTAATTCTGTGGAGAGACCTGACCTGCAAATCCATGCCAATGTTATGGGTCAATGTGTGTTAGAAGTTTCTTCAGAGGCTCCTTGTGATGTTTGTTGTGCCTGTAGGTGCTGTGGGAAATCACCCGTTTCTTCCTGCTTGCCATTGAACTCAGCGTCATTATCTTTGGGCTGGCCTTTGGTGAGTTTAACGTGTTGGTTTCAGTTCTCTTTTACTGATCATGTGAACCCGTGGAATACCTCTGTTTGTTCACACAACAAATAATTGTTTCTCATCTCTTAATGTAATTATGAATTCAACTAAGGTCTTTTGTTCACTATTAATTTACAAGGCCACCTTGAGAGTAAGTCCAGCATAAAGCGTGTGCTGGCCGTTACTGCTGTGCTGGCTCTGGCATACTCCATCACACAGGTAAAGACAGATGTTGTTGTTAATAGTTGTATTATGAGTCATGGCAGGAAATGTCCACAACTAGAATGAATAATGGAATGAAATGGAATTGGATCTTCCATTGCTCTAGGGCACGCTGGAAATACTGTATCCAGACAGCCACCTGTCAGCGGAGGACTTCAACATCTACGGTCATGGAGGGCGGCACTTCTGGTTGGCCAGCTCCTGTTTCTTCTTCTTGGTTAGTTAACTACAGCTGGCAGCAAAGCTTGCCTGAGAAATGAATAAGACATAGTATACAATGTTATTGTACAGATATTGATTGATTCTATTTTTCTAACAGGTTTACTCCTTGATCGTGATTCTGCCTAAAACCCCAGCAAGGGAGAGGATATCTCTGCCATGTAAGTGCACTTGAGAATTTACTTTTTTGAGTTACAAAATGCAAAACTTGAGCCAGTTGTTATCTCGTCACAACAATGTTTAAAGAACTAAGCAAATCACCTAGTGAGGGAAAATGTCTCCTGCTGCAAGGGCATGCAAATCTAACACGTTGAATAATACATAGACTTTGTTTGCTGGTTTTATTTTCAGTGAATCAAGGTTTAAAAAGGTTGTTATCCCCACCCCTACACTTATTATTGACAATTTTGTTATGTTTCACCAGTGACCTACTTTAGGAAATCTTGAGGTTTTACAAAGTAGTATAGCCACTTACTTTTGAATTCACTGCATATGTCAGCCTCATATTTCATCATAATGAAGGGAAACCTATTCACCATGACAATTAACTCTATCATTTGGCATCAATTCCATGATTCCTGGTGGTCCATTGGTCTTTTCTGTTTTGCCTCCTTTTGTTTAGCTAAGAGGACTTTCTACGTGTATGCTGCCATCCTGTCTTTTCTGAACCTGGTTCAGGGCCTGGGCAGTGCTCTGCTGTGTGCAGGAATCATAGAGGGTCTCTGGTCAGTATTACTCCATCCTCATGATTATATGCTAACCACAGGAGCAGGAATTGGAAACCTTTTTCTGATTAATTTTAATATAATTCTTTGTTTTTAAGGGACCCAACAATTTTTTTAATTTTATAGGAGCAGATGAAAAAATACTTTAGCCAGTCTACAATATAATATTCCTACTTTGTCCTGTGATCTCTTTATGCACCAAAACATTTACTAAGAGTGTTTCCTCTTTGTCCTCTCTGAACCAGCTGTGTGGATGTTACCACATTCCTTTACTTCTCTGCCTTCGCTCCGCTCATTTATGTCACATTCCTGAAGGGCTTCTTTGGGTATGTAGTCGTCGATGGAATCATGTATTTTTAGTGAAAAAAGTTTTATCAAGAAGATCTTTATAAGTGGGCACTGACTTTTTTTTATCAATACGGCCATGGACTTTGTGAATTAAACAATAAGAAAATATATACATTGGCAAGACCTGTTGGATTTAAGAAATGGCAGTGATTTTATGTGTTTCAGATATTTTTAAGAAGTCATTTATTTTTATGTCTTTTTTTTCCGGCTGCAGTTCGGAGCCCAAGATCCTGTTCTCTTACAAGTCCCAGGTGGACGAACCAGATGACAGCGACGTCCACCTCCCCCCCACAGTTGCTGCTGGCCTTGGCCGAAAAGACCTGATGGACCAGGGTCTGTACTACTCCTCCACCCAGATCGATGGCTCTGGTCCCCACAGCTCTCGTATGGTTGGAGCTTACCTGGACGATGTCGCATCCGGACCCTATGGTTCCAGCAGCATCAACAGCATTGAGGCTGACCGCTGGAGGCCTATCAATGTGTGAAAAGGGCAAGAGAATACATACAGACTTAAAATGCTGTGCATATGTACTAAATTCAAGAGAATGGCAATAAAATAAGTTGTCCAATGAGACATTGCAGATTCAAGCGGTGGGAAACCAAGGAAGGGTATTCTTGGTCTTGCTTTGATGCCAAAATAAGTTAATAAATGGACACTTGAGGGGCGACCTTTGCTAACCTGTTTCAGAAGGACTGAAATGGGTGTCGGCTTTTGTTACGTTGTTTCCAGAATGTTCCGCTGCTGCCGCTCCACACTCCAGAGCGCTGCCCCTAAATGTGGACCTGCAGTCCTCACGTTGATTCTGTTTCACAGGCTCTTGAATGTGGGTTCATGCTGATTGCTTCAGAAAACTCCAGCTCCAAACTCCAACTTTGCATTCCTCATTGTGTTTTAACCCAATTTTTGAAATGTAAGTTTGCTAAATCAATTTAACATCTTCTTGAGTTAAAACTTGACATTGGTGCATTCCCACAATAATGATTTCTGTAATGAATTCATCTCAGATTAGGTTTGTGGCTGAGCAGGTTAATATGTATTTTCTTTGAAAAGAGCAAGAACTTACTTTTGTTTCCTCATCAAATGTTTGGTGACCCTGATGTTATATAGACAGACTATATCTAAAAGGCTGTTTACTATAATTAACTTGGACAAGTAATCTTATGAAACTGCTTCTCACCCACGTTTTTGACTTTGTAGTGTCTTTTATAAATATGTCCAATTTGCTTTAAGTTCTCTCTCATACTAGATTAATCATTCCTGCTTCTGAAAAGATTTTTGTTTCATATTTGGTAATGAAGTCATGTGTTTTACTTAAATGACATATGTGCAGAAAGCTGTCTGTGAATTCCAGAACAAATCATAATTGCATAGCTAGAGTTTAATTTAAACAAAACTTTATAGCTCCTGGTGCAGCTTTGATTCACCCCTCAAATGTTCTCACAAGTGATTAATTTAGATATCAAACAGTTATGCACAGTGTAACACTATTTGACTATGGGATCATTTTGTAAAAAATTGAAAGACCTGTCCCACTAAGCAAGTGGGGCTCAAAGCATGAAAAATATCGGTCATTAAAAGTTGACAATACCCCCCACCAAAAAAAAGTCTGTTTTGGTTGATTTCAGGCTTTATTCTTCAACTTTCAATGAATAAAATGCAATCAGTGCTTTTCATTATTTTTTTGGCATTGTCATATTCAAATGTTTTTTAAGCCCCTCATATCACGTTTCACCAGTGTCACAATGTTTGATATTAATGAGCTGCATATTTAACCTGACAGTGTTTATGGATCCAAAATGTTAGATTACATCAACCAAACAGGGAACCAGATGAGTTTATGAGAATGCATAAAATTTGACAAAAATGTAATATTCCATTTTCAATTTTGAGTGCTTGTGATTACTTTTGAGTTGCTTGTGAATTTTGCCTTTACATGAAATCACAATCAGTATTCCTGTCAAATACCATTCTCGGAAAATCTAGCAGTCATTCCACAAATCCTGTTTAACTGCCTTCATGCTTTAGTGATTTGGTTGTATGGTGTTCTATCTGTGTTACTGCTGTGTGTTGACCATGCCATACTGCAAAAATAAACTCTGGATTCATTCATTTTTTCCCCACTTTTTTTCATTTTCTCTGCTTATTTGATTAAAAACATATTTAAATGTCGCACAAGATGTCACTCCATAGTATGTTATGGTAACTATGTTCTCCGATTCGACCATCAAGGACGCACGTCTAATAAACTTTTGCTAATGTTATGCTGAGCCATGAAAGTCCAATTAACTTGAACCTAGCCATTCTCTGAAAACTTTTGAACTGCAATTCCCGTCAACCCAGTGTTCACTCATGATAAATACGAAGCAATCATTGGATTAGACTGGTTTGACTTGGCCAATGAGCTTCAAGGATACTGCAGCACAGAAATGACCTTTATTGGAGTATTTTGACAGCCAGCCGCGGTGGCGGCGACTCCAACTAGCGTGTCATTTTTGTCTCAGTTTCTAGTCCAGAATTAATTTTCACGTTTATCCCGTAGGAACGGGCAGGTGGTCAAAATGGGAGGTAATGGAAGTACAGCGAGGAATGTGTCTTTTGGGCTGGACGAAGACGAGAAGGTCAAAGTAATTGAAGGAGTAAAGGTATACAACCTAACGTTGTAGTTGTTTAAGTAACGTTTCTGGGTGCAGTGGTAAACGTTTTTCTGAATGCGAACATGACTGAGGTATGAAAACTGGCTCCGGTTTAAAGCCCTCAGCATGACAGATCCCATGTCCTCAGGTGAACCATACCCTCCGTTTTCCGCTCTACTAAATTACCATTGACCGCTGTTAAGTGGAAGGGTCTTCTGGTCTACAGTCTACAACTCATGCGAACTTTCACCAGGTGTTTTGCTAGCTCGTAATCTGGTGGCTATTAATGTAAATGTTGGCTAGCAAGCAATGTCACCAACATACGGAATAACCTCGTTGTTTATAAAAAGCTGCGTAGTCAGTCGCCCGAAAGGGAAATGTATCGACTGTATAAACGTAGCCTACTGTAAACGTGGTTTGTATAAATAAACGTAGCTTATTGCAAATAGTTAAGTCTTTGCCCCACCATTTAGGGAGGTCTGACCTAGCTGTGGAGCAGTGACTTGCTGAAGGACACTACAGTGGGAGCCTGTGAAATTTAGCTTCTAGCCTGTTTTCTTATCAAACAGCACGTGATTATGTCCACTTTCTTGTCTAGCTGTCGGGGGATGTTCTCCGGCGGATGAGGGACTCTCAGGGGTCTGATGGCATCAAACCTAAGCCGCCATCAGACAGCCAAAAGACATCATCAGGTATGTCTAAATAAAAAAAAGCCCTGTCTTTCTACCTCATTGCAAATATATCACTGCGGTTTGACTATTTAAGATGGTCAAAAGCCAAAATTAGCATCCATAGTCATATTTCTTAAATATGATTTATGGTTCACAATGCATGGAATTAAAATTATATGTTGCTTATACTTTGGATGGGGCATTGGTCATAGTCACTGATTCATGTTAAGATTTCTTCTTTTCTTTATATATCTGACAATATTTCTCCCTAATACAGATCCAAAACCAGCTGGACCATCTAGCGCAGAGATGCAGGAAGAGATGCGCAAAAAGTACGTGTTCAATATGTTCCAAGTCAAGATCACTGTCTCTGATTGTTTGCAGTTAGCGCAAAGTTCACTATTATGTTTTTCTTTGGTATGTTTAAACCGTTGGAGCATGTTTTTTTTGGTTCTCTTTATTTATCAATATTTGTAGTTTTGGACTTTCAGGGGTTTGTACTAGCTTTGGCCACAAGAGGCTCAGGTCCTCACACACTACTAGTGTTCCTGTGTATTTCTATTTTTATGTAAAGAAAGGTTACTTGCTCGGTTTTAAGGGAAGTGTTCTGTTGTTGTAAGTGAATGTCTTTGACTTTCACATTTTCTGAATTTGAAATTCTAAGAAAAATATTTCTAACCTAACTGGATGTTATATTGCACAAAAGGTTAATGTAGGCTGAAATTAGGCCATCTGTGTTTACACAGCCAGTTTGGCAAAGATATGATATAGCACTTGTGATGTGCTAAAATACACATGCTGTCAACACTGGCTCTGCTGTTTTAGGAGCACGTTATAATGCTGCTGGAATACTATCTTGGTGCAGTATTGAGTAACATTTTGGAAAGTCCAAAGGTTCTCACTTACTCTCTCAGTTGTTGGAGATACTTTAGTCTGCAGAAATGCATTCTTTCATTAGTGTAATGACGGCCATGTGGACAAACAGTTTGAAGGAGGCATATTGCCAAGATGCAACTCATTTAAGATCCATAGCCAGGTCTTGTAGAAAAGTATCAGATAACATGTTATTGCTGCAGGTCAATGAATAGTGTTTTGCATGGAGCTTTTGAAATTATGGTCAATATTATGTAGCTGTTACATTTGTTATAGTTCATAATAACGCCTTAATTCAAGGTGCTTTCAGATGGACCATCATCGTTATTGTCGTTTGTGGTTAATTTTCTTGTCATGTGTTTTTGTCTTTTTAGAGTTTATGTAATTAACCGTGAATTTTATTTCAGAAATAATTTATTTGATGTTGGATGTTCTTTAGTGCTCAAATAACAAATGTTACCAGATGTAGATCTGACTTAGTTTTATGAGAACTTTGTTGATGGTGTTCTTCTGCCACAGGTAACAAAGACAGCAATTAATGAAAGAGGGGCAATACTAGCATTGAAACTTTGGATTGATAAGTTACCAAATGAGGAAAATGTATGAATTCCAATTTACTGCGTGTTCTTCTCTTATCCCCAAAATAATGCAGATGATTCCGTGTTTAAAGGTCTCTTACCACAAATCCATGATTAGGTCTGATTTACTGAAAAAGATATTTTTCTGACTTTGGCGCTTAGCTCTGTATTTAAACAACAACTTGCGGGTATAGCAGACTTTCACTTTCTGCACACGGGTTGGAGAGTAACAGGTCTTACTTTCCCTTGTTGAAGCTTTGAGCGTCAGCAGGCTTTGGTGCAGGAGCAGTTGGCCAAACTGGCCAAGAGGGAAAGAGAAGCTTCGACACTCGGAGGCCTAGATGAGCGGACTCCTACCGTCATCATGGAGAGGGGGAAGGCCCACGAAGAGCAGCAAAAGGCCAAGCAACTGGTGAGCGTTATAGCCTGGGTAATGTCAAAAGTATGTAGCTACAGCTACCGTTAAACCTGATTCAAAACCTGACCAGAAGTTTTAGAGCTGTCTTCCAAAACATTATCTAGCATAAGTTAGTAGATATTTAATAAATCATCAAAAGAGTGTCTTCTATTTACACATTTGGGTTCACTCTGTGATTGTCATAAATTATCAATAAAACATGGGTGTAGGCCTTTACATTGTCCCTTACAGCCCCTCCAGAACATGTGCAGAAATGTTCAGAGCTTCTGCCCAGATGGTAACGTGACTTTCAAGGAATAATACTGCTTTATGTATGTCTCAAGATAGCCTCACTGAAATATAAATGACATGGAACTCTGTTGGTACCTGTTATGACTCAAACTTTCACATGTTCTGTTGTCTTCGTATAGCAAAAAGATATTTAAAACACTACTGTGCGATTTATCACTGCATAGGCATATATGTATCTCAGTTCTTGTCACTTCTAAAGGCCTTTAAAGGTGTGTGTCAGTGAATAAATTATGTCTTGTCACTGCAAATATCTTAGATTAATCTGGCCTTCTTTTCCTGCTGTTGTTTGCTTACCTTGTTAAAACTGCTCATTGTGGATGCCCTTACATTATGTCTATCTAAAGTTCCCCCGGATTCATTTGTTCTGCAGAGGCTTATATATTTTTTCACTAGCTACAATTTCCAGTGAATGAAGCTTAGTTTGCACAAACTCGGGCTCCTACATGGGCTATAATAATCTTGCAACTCTCCCCTAAAAGCCTAAATTTCTCTTTTTTCTATCATGACAAGTCAAAACAACCCGTCAGCGTGGATGTGTAGAAGTAGGCAGACACTGTGGGTGTATTTTGAATTGGGTTTAAAAGAGTATGAAAGTGTTGAGGAATTTCTGTCACTGATGACATGTTTGACAGATGTGACACATGTGAGCACACAGTGAAAAGAAAGCTTTGAGCTTCAGTTTGTATGTGTAAAAAGTAGAATTGCATGTGTGTGCATATATAAAGTAAGGAAAGGAGAAGGCTTGTCTGCTTTAAGGTGATAATAGACGTGAAACAGATGCCAGTATTGTGAGTGAAAGGTTTCGAGAGCATTCAGCTTTGAGCCTTGGTGTGGCATTTACCTCTCCATTCTCACCTTTTCTTCTTTCTCACCTGTGCTTCTTCTTTGGTCTCACCTCCATCTCTCACCTGTTTGTGTTTGACTGTCTAACTCTCCCATTTTTGCTCAGTTGGAGTTCTGTCTTGTTTCGCTCAGCAGACCAAAATCAAGCTGGCAGACGTAGACTACTATTCATAAATGAAGATGTCTGCTTTTGTTGCACTGCTTCTACTTTTGAAAAGATTAGGAAAAGTCATGAGTCTGATTTCAAAGTCCCAACAGTTACACATTTATCTGCTAAGTAGGTGGGCTTACCTCTCTTTTTAGCATTTTTCAGTGACCTTGCATTATCTGACAACAGCACAGCTTGAGGCTGACAGGAAAAGAAACACATTTCTCCACCCCCTGCTTTTCCTTCTCTTCTGTAAAGTGTAGCATTTTGAGTAGGCTGGAAGCTGCCTTTTTTCTCTCAGGAGAAGGTAGTTACACTCCCGCAAACATACGCTCACACACAACACAGTGGAACCGCCACAATTACCCAAACATGTGTAAAGCAAACCTCCCCCTCTTCGGAACGTTTCATCACAGGTACTCTTGGGCTCCTCTACATGCAGGCTTTGTGTCAATGTTCGGGTGAGGAGGAGGTGAAGGAGGTGTGAAGGCTATACCTGTCGAAAAGATGAGCTTCTCCCCACCCTGCCTCAGGCTGCCTGTCACAAACACTCACATTAGCCATTTACCCCTGCCTCAGCACCGACATCCACTGCTGGGACTTATTGTGTGTGTGTGCCATTGCATGGCATCGCTTGTTTGTTTGTGTGCATGTGTGTAAACTGGCTGTGTCGATTTAAATCAGAGGAATGTGTGTATGCTGTGGGGAGAGGTTCATACGCAGGTCAGTCAATACTCCCTTCTCTGGTTTTCTCTACTGTCGTATATTTATACTTTTGTTCTGTGCATAGTGTATTAAGTCCTTCCATTTTTGCTACAATTCCTAGCATTTGTGTGTCCCACTGAAACCTGCCACGGAGTGTTAAAATTCAGATTCTGATGCCCCACAGTTATTGGCTAACTGTGGACCGGTATGCCAATATAGAGTGCTGCAAGTGAGACTTGTTTTTAGAGCAAAAAGTAGTTCACCAGCTCAAAATCATTAAATCCCATATCAGTAATTATGCCATTATATTACATATGAGTGATATATACTAATTATATTCAAAAAGTAATTTGTTCATGATTAGTTTTTAAAACAGAAGCTCATTTCTCATTTGAGCACATTTCTGCATCTGTGGTGTCCATGCTTTGCTTCTGCAGAAGTGCAACTGCTTACGCCTCTGCTTTTTCAGTGTCACCCCTTCTTGTTATGAGGCTATTTTTAACAGCAACACCTTTAGTGACAGTGGAAGAGATACAGAGTTGCATTAACACTTCTTTTTTTCCTCATTACCTGCACCTCCAGTCTTTGTTTTCCCTCTTCTCTCTTCTCTCCACCTGAGAGGTGTCATTGAAGTAAAATGTAGTTAGTATGCACAGGTATTCACTGCTCAGCATCACACACACACACACACACACACACACACACACACACACACACACATTCAGGCAGTGACAAGCAGCTGCTTTAAGCTATTGAGTTGGAGGAGGCTGCTAGGTTAGAAGGTTGTGTGGGTTATAGGGGGAGTGTTAGTACTTCTGTTTAAAGGTCTGTTCACACAGTGATGAGTAAGTTGAGTACAGTCGGTCCATTTGGATACAAGTCTGTGGCATGGAATTGAAACCAAGAGTCAGTTTAATTGTGGAAACATATTAACTCCTATTACCTGATACTTCGAACCTCTGCGGGGTATTTCCTACCAAATTAAACATTAAAGCAGCAACGTTTCCTTCAAATGATCTAAAATAGCTCCTGCCAAGTCTGCCAAAATCAAATTATTATTAAATTGGAAAGGGCTAAAAAATGGCGTAACAGCAGCCGACTGTGACACCGTTTGCACAAACTAATTGATGATATTTATTCAGCTCTAAATAACAATATTTTGATGTGAGGATTTTGTGGTTTGACTTGGAATGTGTGACAAATGATGAGGTTCCCATTTGCTCACTCCTCATGTCCCTGTTCTTTAACACCTCCTCCCTCCTTTAACACTCTAACCAGATTGTAAGGAAAGTATTAAAACTGCAGATTGTGTAGTTCTGTTATGCCATCTGTAATTGTACACATTATTTAAAGACTGAGCACATACAGTATCATAGGAATATGAGGCTTGAAGCATAGCTCTTCATCTCCAGTGTTTGATTTATTCTGTAGTGTTTTCAGTTTCACCCTTTTCCTTTTTACCACATTACATGTTCCATCATATCACTAGTGGCTTTGTGTAGTTTTGTGTTCATTGAATGGGGTCAGTTTGTTGCAACATAATGTAGCGATAGGGTGCATACAAGTGAACGGTCACTAGATGGCATTGTTGAAGCATGATTCTTTTAGAGAGGGTGAACCGTCTTCCCTGCACTGCAACAGTTGCTGCAGCATGTTCTCTCAGAATCCTTTCCTCCTCCTCTGTCACATCTTTTTGTCTGTCCATAGTGTGTGTGCACATACAATGTGTGAGTGACAACTCCAAGGCAAGTTTCTGACACTGTCCAAACCAGGGTGAAAAGCCCAGCATTCATTAGAATCAAATCTGAGATGGCGAACACTTGATGCAACACATGTTAAAGGTATCTCCCAGCTGCTGTGTAGAATCACTTAGAAATGACACTTGACAAGAGTGTAAATGTTGTGTTTTGCACTGAATATGCATCCTTTCAGTTGCAAGATGTTCCTGCTAACCAGCAGGCCCTCCTGCTGTCTGAGGCTAATTGACATTTGTCTGATTTGTGTACTCATGCTTCAGCACGTTTTTTAACTTGTATTGATCCCGCCCCCCCAACACTTTTGGCTTTAACTGAATTTCCTTTATCTCCAAGATTACAAACGGTGTGGGCTCACCTTACATTATTCATCAAGACTTTCATGTACGTACTAACTCACCTCTCCCTGCTGAAGCAGCCTGTTAGACTTTTTTCTGCTTCTATCAGGTTGATTAAAGAGTCAACACATGTATGTGGATTAATCCAAACTTTGGTCATTTTGAGCTGGACTTGTTATTCCCTTTAATCAGAATTAGACGCAGATAGGAAATCATGTCAAATCCTTTAGTTTGAGCAGACACTTAAAACATCATTGTTCAGCAGATTATGTGGAAATGCAAATATAATTTTAGCAGTGTGAGAGTAAGATGGTTTGAAAAGGCACATCCATTCAGTGATTATTCACTATCTTTAAGTGATGATAAGGAAAAACACAATGGAAAGTTCTTTATTTTCATGTAAGAACTAACATTTAAGAGATTCTTGCTTTTTCCTTTGCCTACCTGTCTGAGATGACTGAGGAGTCACAGCAACCAACATGTGATGTCAGACAATGGCGTGGGCAGGAAGAGCAGGGAGGCATCAGGTCGTAGATCAGCCTTGGAACTCGGAGAAAAGCAGAAATGGTCTTAGAAACACTACAGAAGCTGAGAGGCAGAGAGAAGTATATTGTAGGAAATGGTCATAGATTCACAATCCTCACTAAGGCTGCCAGCCGAATAGATTATTCAACCCTGCTTTTTAGCCAAAGACAGAAAGAAGAGCAGAGAAGGATGAAAATAGAATGGAAGAGTGGAGAAAATAGATCAGTGAAACACAATTAATTGAAAAACAATGTAAGATATTGGGGGGAGTTATGTATATGTATATGCCCGTTTGCCCGTGAGCCTTCAGCATAGTGATGGCATTTGTGTGACTTAGTGGCAAGATCAACAAAACGCACATAAAAGGATTGAGTGACTATTTATTTCTGATAGAAACGGACTAAACCATAGAACTGGGGTTCACAGACACACACACGATCACAC